AACCTGTCCCGGGCTCCTAGACTGCATCAGTCGGAGGTAGCAGGGTGTGAGGTCATTAGAAGGACCACGTGATTTCAGTAAGCTTGCCCACATAAGGGGATCCCGGTGTCGACTTACTGTCTGAGCTCAGCAGCCAGCCTGGCTGGGGAGTGCAGTGATGTTCTGGGGGGGGGGGGCAAAAGTGCCCTGATTCCATGAAGAGTCAGGCAAGGGCTCCCTGGGCTGCACCCCGACATGGCCGGCCCCACGTTCTTCCCAAGCTGGCAGATCCCGTTGGCTTATGTACTTCCTCGTCGAACTGTTCTGACAACTGGCACTTCACTTTTTAAGATTCTGGGTCGCATTCTCAAATGAGTACATGGATGAATCCCAAAGGGGTCATGGCCAATGTAAAGTACAGGTAGGAGGGGGGTGTCCAGGGATCTGTAAGGGGTGGTTGGGGCTTGGGATCATGGCAGTCTAGCTGGGGAATTGTGTCCCTGAACTTGTGAGGTCAGTGCCAGAATGTGCGCCTGTGGTTGAGATGGGGTGCTTTCTCTCAGCATTCCAGCCTGGGCATTGGGGGGTGGGATAGAGTGGGGGACACAATGAGATGCTGGGAACATTCCCCAGTGGATGCAGGTGCAGGTGTCTCACCTCCGAGCCCTTCTCATGAAAGAAGGCCCCTCATTCTGCACTGATATGGATCTGATTACACACTTGGATAAAATTTATGAATGCAAGACTTTAAAATAAAAAAAGGATTTGAGAGAGTGACACAGTTTCCCTCCACTGGCTTCTTGCCCAAACGCCTGCAAGGTGCAGGACCAAAGCTGGGAACTCAACGTGGGTCTCTGTATCAAGGGAGTGATGCCTCTCACACGTTGCCTTCCCGAGTCTGCATCGGCAGAAAGATGGAGCCAGGAGCCAGGAGCTAAGCAAACCCAGGCACTCCCAGATGGGAACTGCATGTCTTAACTGCTAAGTGAAAGACCCCACTGCTTCTGTTGAAAAACCTCCAGGACACGCCCAACCGTCTGATGTTAGAAATTCCAAGCTTGACTACCCCCTGGTGGTGACTTAAGAGAGTGCTGGAGAAGGGGCCAGTTCCCCTGACCCTGCTGCATTTTCTGCAGCAAAGTCTGAAAAAAGCAGCTGGAAGTGCACAGGCTGCTACTCTAGGGATGGACGAAAGAACCAAAAGCAGAGGCCAGAGGCTTCAATGAGACTGAATGCAAAATGGCTTCTGATTGCCAAGCCTGGCTGGGGCTCCCAGGCTTGGGAGCACACATCAGCCGAGTTGCCACGAGTGTGTGCGGCAGGGACCAAGAGCAAGGGGCTAGCACTGTGTGTGGGCATCTTGAGAGAGGGACGGTAGCTCAGGCCCCACGCTGGGACTAGTGGAAACCCACAGGATAGCCGAAGAAACTGGACAGTCGGTCTGAAACGCCAGCTTTGATCTTCATGTAGATGGGACAGCTGGGAGGAAAGAGGGACAGCCCACAGGTAAGGGGGTGTGGAGCTGACTCCCCCAAAATACCAAGGCAGCTTAAGACTGGTCCAAAGCAATGACAATGAAGTTGCCTCCATGGAAATAGTGATGTCAGAACTGAGCCCTGTGTAAAGCTGTTCAAGGGGTCGGCTTCACAACCCTTTGGAAAGATGCATTGGAGGGGTCGGTCAGTGAAATGGCACAGCTCGATAATCCGCCCACTGCAAGTGCTGAGATCCCCTATGGGCACGGGTCCGTGTCCCAGTTGTTTCATTTCCCATGCAGCTTTCTGCTTAAGGCCTTGGAAAGCAGTGGAGGATGGTCCAAGTCCTTGGGACCTGCACCCACATGGGAGACCTGGAAGAAGCTCTTGGTTCCCGACTGTGGACTAGCCCAACTTCTGGCCATTGAGGCCATTTGGCGATTGAGCCAGGGGATGGGAGATGTTCTCTCTCTTTCTCCTCGGTAAGAATCTGCATTTTAAAGAAAAACAAATTTAAAAGTCTGCAATGGAAAGATAAGTGCATTTTGGGATTGAAGAATATTGAAACTCACTCGGTGAGCAGCTTGATGAGCCAAGCTGGCAGGGTCCCCCCAGGCCCAGGGTGCCCCCAAGCCTGGCTCCCTCATCCAGCAGGAACACCTGCTCCCTTACATTGATCGAGTTTCTGTTTCTATCTGGAGCTTCAGGAGTACTTTCCTAGTGGTACATGGGGGTCCTGAGTTCTCTCAAGATGGAGATCCAGCCCACCCAAGGGCTCAGGAAATCAGGTAGGTTGGCAATCACCAAGAATGCCAGACAATGCATCTGAGCTGAGTTGGAAGGATGGGTGTCTTCCTGAGAGCACTATACCACATTCCTTGAGTGTTGACCTGCAAAGGCATCCTGGAGGGGGTGGACCCTGGAGGATCAGGGGAGTCCACCCCAGGTGGAACGCGAGTCAAATATTTGACCCACAGAACTGGATCCACCCCCTAGGAAACAAAGACAGGCCAATGGGGAATAGCCACAGGGCAAGAGGATGATATTCACAGGGAAGATGATTGGATCATCAGGATTGGCCATGACCTGGACAAAAAGGCAGTGTGGGCCTTCTCTTAGGGGCTGAGCCTGTGGAGGACATGGGTCAAGCACAGGATGGGGAGGGCTCCATCTGCCTTGCCTTCCAACCGCAGGATTCGCTGGATTGTGGATGCCCCTACTGAGCAAGATACTTGCATAGGATATGGCCAGGAAAAGAAGGATGAGTTTAAGTTCTGGTACAACACTGCTTATGTGGCGGTGTTGGCCACACTCCTTCCGCAGTGAGTGTGGGCCAGGTTCACTCAATGTGCTTGGTCTTCCAGAAGCTAGGAGACGTCACGTCTTCACCTCCAAGGTCTGTGTGAACTCCTCACAAGCCACCTGTTTCCAAGGAAGTCCAGCAGGCCGGCAGAAAGCAGGGATCACGGCTAGTGAACAAAGAAACCAGTGGTGAGAGCTTCTATTGCGGAAGCCTCAGCCAGCGGCTGCTCTGTGTCAGTTGTACATTCCCAGTTGAGAGTTGGTTGCCAAGTTCAACACCAAAGATGGTCATAGCATTTTCAAAAAAAAAAAAAAAAGATGAGACTACAGAAAGACTCACTGCCATGAAGCTATCCTGGCCCACAGTATTGTTTTTCTTGGAGGACGAAGTGTATTCCAAGATGCATGAGGGTTAAAAAACATATCACAAAGATCACATTTCTATACCCTAGCTCCATAAAACAGAGTGGTTTTCAATTTTCACAATTTTCACATGTGCATGTTCCAGATAAAATGAAGCATTCCAGACATACGAAGAACTGCGACCCTGTCCTAACACTCTCGGGCAGCGAGCGATTGCCCCCTTTCCACTTGTAACGCTATACTTTCATTTGGACCAATCTCCAAGCAGCGCTTCCCACATGGGAGGCAGTTTTGGCTCATCATCTGAGACATAAACTGAATGAGAGAGAAGAGCATCATTGGTCCTCGGCTTGAAAACTTCCCAAGGTACCTACTGTAGTCTACCAGGTTAGACGGGCTCCTGGCCCAGCCCCAGCCATCATGGTTACCAAGGAAGATCTACCCCCCACACTCATCTCTATGTAACTCTACCTTTTAATTAAATAAAATAAACCTTTAGAAAAAGACGAATGCTTTTACATTTGTTAAGAATAATTCTCAATAACTATAGCAAAAAGGAAAAAAAAACATGAACTCAGATCCATTCTTGTCTAATAAACACGATTCGGAGATTATAGGCATCCAAAACACTGACTTGAAAATATCAGCCTCAATGAGGATCGTCTTGTCTCAGGTTCTTAATTGACTGCTTACAGACAAAGGTAACAGATTTTTCCCAAGCTCATACAGGAATACAAAATAAAAAATGTAGGAAAAAAAAGCACTTCATATTATAGGATGAATCTGCATTACACAACCACCTCAGTAGTGTGACAAATGAAGATCTTTCCAACCGCATTCACGGAATATGTGACCACACTCTCACGGAAGGATGGTTTCACATGCATTTCTCCAACCACCATTAGCAGCGACACCGTCAATCTCTATTGCTTCACAATCGCCCAGACTTCAATCTTTCTGAAATTCTGGTCACATCTCTCCCGTGGCACCATGCAGCCTGAGTGGTGTACCATACCACAACCTGGCTTTGATGTCCAATCTCAGAAATCAATCCAACTGCCTTTCTGGCCAGAGACCTCCTTACAACCCGAGTCTTAAAAATCCACGTTGTAAGAACACTTGGGAGCTGCACTGTCTGTTGATGACACGAGCAGCTCCCCGGAGTGGCTTCTTCTGCTGTTCCTGGTTTGTGTCTGATGTCACTTTCTATTTCCATACACTTGCAGGGATGCCTCACCCAGGATGCTCTGTTTCTCTGGGTGCCAAGCCTGCTCCCAGTCACGTAGAGCCATACCTTCAACTGACAAGATCACACTAGCCTTGCCATTCGTACACCATGACTACCACGAGCAGACTGGTCCACCGCCGTGCTCCCTGGGGAAGACATTACAGTCTTGGTCCCTAGTCCAAACAGAAGTCACCATTTCACCTGACAGCCATAAGACAGTAAACCTTTGCATTTCCAACAATCAGGGACCCAGGTCCCAGGCTCCATCATGCTTACAAAGGACAGAAAGATCAAACAAAGTCCAACATGCCATTGCTCCAGCAAACACAGGGTCTCTTAATTCTATGCAACCGTGCGTCTCAACCAGTTCTACAACATGGTGGGCCTCAATTTCTCTTGTCCAATACACAGAGCGCCAGGGCACCTTCCAGACCGACACGAGCCATGGGTGTGTCAACTAACAATGTGGTTAGGACCTGCTGTGCCCGGCTCAATCACGCAACCGATCTGACGCACCACCAGCGTGACTTTCCCTTCCAGTGTTCAAGGACGCCTTTCCCTTTCACCGGACCATTCCAGCTCCAGGCTCGCTGACGCCACCAAGCCAACAGAAAAACATTCCTCGTCGGAAAGCATGAAAGTGCCACACCTACCCTGAGCCACTGCTTCTCCGTGAGGGCATCGCTGTAGTCCACGTCGCGGCGCTGGCGAGAACCCCTGCCGAATATCTTCTCCTCTTCCTCTTCACACGTGAGCCTTTCCACTTCGGCATCGTCCTTTATAATCCAGGAGGGCAGCTCGTCCTCCTCCATCAAGCGGGGCTTGCGTTTGGGGTTCCGAGCATCTTCCCTCCGCCGGTCCATGTCCATACGCTGGAGAGAGCAAAGGGCAGAGGAGTCACCAAAGGGGTGGGGGCCCTGGCCACTTTCTAGCAGATATACAAGCCTCTTTCCAAAGTTCACAGGAAATACATACTGTGGAAAAGAAAAAATTGCACACATAGCTCAATTTTGCCTTTGGCTACCCAAAGAAGCCTATCTTTGTAATCCCACTGTATAGGAATTTTTACAGTTTCCTGGTCCAAATTCCGGTTGCATGGTGCAATTCAATCTCTCTCACCCCTACTGACCTGCCCTAGTTCATCCATAAGGTTTGGGGTCTGGGGCAGGATTCTATGGCGTCAAATCCCTTCCCTTCCTCAGTGCCCATCTTAGGAAAGGTGCTTATGCATCCAATGAAATACTCTTTCAGGAATCCTGTGCATGGTCACCGAGGGTATGAAGGACGCTTCCTCTTAAGCAGTGGCTCAGTTGGCTAATCCTTCCCCTTCAAGTGCCCAGATGCCATTTGGGCTCATGTCCCAGCTGCTTTACTTCCCATCCAGCTCTCTGCTTGTGGCTTGGGAAAGCAGTAGAGGATGACCCAAAGCCTTGGCATCCTGCTCCCACTTGGGAGACCTGGAAGAAGCTCCGGGCTCCTAGCTTCCAAATCGGTTCAGCTTTGGCTGTTGTGGCCACTTGGGGACTATGCCAGCAGATGGAAGACGTTTTGATCTGTTTCTTTCTATAAATCTGCCTTTCCAATAAAAATAAGTAAATTTTTTTTTTCTTTAAGTTCAACTTGGAGCTGCATTTAGTAATTAAGACCTCATGGGTGTGTGGCTTATTGTCTTTCTGGAATAAATGTTGCATGTAGAGTATATTCAATAGGACACTCAATAAAACATTTCCTTTTAGGGGTTAGCGTTGTGGCATGGCTGGTTATGCTACGGTCCTGACACCCATATGGATGCCAAGTGACATCCTGGCTGTTCCACTTCTGATCCATCTCCCTGCTAATGGCCTGGGATAAAAACAGTGGCTGACGATTCAAGAGTCTGGGCCCCCTTCCATCCACGTAGGAGACACAGATGAAGCTAGCTGGGGCCATCTGGACAGCGAACCAATGGTTGAAATCTGAATCGATATTTCTTTCCAATTCCATGTTCCAAAATAAATAAATACCTTCTTTTTTAAAAAAATAACATTTCTTTTTTATTAATAAACCTTGTGATTTTAATAATCTGAAAAAGGCAAAAACAGCAACAATCCAATATACCACTACAGAATACATGCCCAGCATTGGACATACAAGCCCGAATGAACCCTGCTGGGGTAGGTAGTCGCTACAAACGCACCATGGACAGCGTGAAGCGGGACACCCCAAAATGCTTTACCTTTTAGAAACGCAACTCTTAGGGAAACATGACATTAGAGAAAGCACACAGAGCAAACTTAGTCTTGACTGATGGCGTTCTAAGTGGGACGGCTTCCCCTCCCTGCCTTCAAAATGACCACGATCCCATCTCTAGCTCTCAGGAGAACAAGTCAGGTCTCTTGCCAATCGACGAAGGGCCACATGCTTGGCTCCATGCCGGAACTCGGCAATCTTTCGGACAGAAACAACCACACTGCTAGCTAGGGGCGTCGTTTCCACAATCAAACAGACCATGGCTCACTAGGTAGTTTTCCTTTTGGCTCCATCGCCAGTTCTGAAAAAGAGATTCCGTGTAGTTTTCCAAGCTACAATGAGTCAGGTGTGAATGAAAGATTGGCTGCGGGCCTGGCACAGTAGCCTAGTGGTTAAAGTCCTTGCCTTGAATGTGCCAGGATGCCATATGAGTACCGGTTCTAACCCCAGTGCACACACAGAGGATGTCTTATTTTTAGCAGAATATTGGGGTGAGGACTGAAATGCGGGTGTGGCTTCCTGGGCAACCCAGGAACACAAGAGCACTTCAAACTGTCCACGGAAAATGGAATTGCAGGAGAAACGTCTTTTGGGTTAAAAATTTGTAAAAATTTGCATGCAAATGAAGAATGTTTGAAATTCTTGAGGAGCTGACACCACGGTGCAGCAGGCTAAGGCTCCACCTGTTGTGCCAGCATCCCATATGGGGACCAGCTCGAGTCCCCACTGCTCTACTTCCCATCCAGCTCCCTGCTTGTGGCCTGGGAAAGCAGTGGAGGACGGCCCAAAGCGTTGAGACCCTGCACCTGTGTGAGAGACCTGGAAAGAAACTCCTGGTTTCAGATTGGCTCAGCTCTGGTCATTGAGGTCATTTAGGAGCGAACCAGCAGACGGATACTCTCTCGCTCTCATCTCTCTCTTCCTATTTCCCTCCCTCCCTCTCTCTCTAACTCTGTTTGAAAAATCAGTACCAAAAAAACTATACATGGGTTCCAAATTTTTTTTTTTTTTTTTGCAACAGAATAAGCTCATCTTTTAATTTCACTTTTCCAACGAAGGTCTTGCAGCACTCGTGCAGTTATTAGGGAGTTAATAAAAGACAACACTGATTGCTAATGTTCTTCACTGAGATGACAAGATACAGCCACTTCACTCTTGGGAATATTACTGCTTCTCCAGCACCTGTTAACAAAACCCTTTTAAGATGACTTCACACTAAGCCTCAGCCTACTACTTTGCGAAGATGACACTGCCGATATCCAGGCAAGTTACGAACCTCGGGTTCTTTTAGCAAAAAGGAGAGGCGGTTAAATTGGGCCTGCCTTCTTTCGCAGGGATTCTCAACTGCAGAATCCCTATGGAAAACCCGCAGTCCACGTCTGAAAGCCTGAATGGCTCCTAGGCAGTTTGCCCCCAGATCTGATTGCCAACATTGTACTCTGCAGATGCAATTCCTGAAAACCTATGCTTTGCAGCGAACACAGCATCTCGAAGCGGCATGTTTGCGGGCCAGCACAATGCTTCAGGTGCCGCTTGAGCTGTTGCGGGTCTCCTTTGAAGACTAAATTCACAGGCAATCAGTACAGAAGAGAATTTTTTTTTTTTTGCAGGAGGAGAAAAACGCAACAGGTGTTGAAAAAAACGAAGGTTTTCTTTTAAAGAGACTACTTATCCTTTGCTTGGAAAATTTGGGGACAGGAAATGGAGCAACCGGTTGGCATTGATTTTATAGAGTGCCAATTTTTCTAACGATAACTGATAAGACACTTAAACATCTGAAACCCAGTGAAGTGTCCCAGCGCCCACTCCCTTCTCCTTTCTCGCTGATGTTTTTAATCAGAGCGGCTGGTGGAGATTCTTTGCGTTTGATTTCCTGCCCCCCTGGTGGAGCTGCTAATGAAGAGGGAATTGGCCAAAGACAATGGGATATAAGAAGAAACACCCCCCGCACCCCCCAAGAAAAACCCCTGCACTACCCCCCCACACTAGAAGTCCACCTTTAGGAAGCAAGTAGGCGCTTCAGAAAAATCAAAATGCTTATCTGCCTGCCATGTTCGCATCCTGCTCTTTGCATGGAGGACCATTCTCAAGGTGCAAAAATGGTGGGCCATTCTCAAGGTGCAGAAACTTTACCTGGGACAGATATTCAGTGGTTCCTCCAATTCCACATTTGTACAAATACGTAGCCCGAATGGGAAAAGGAGAAGCATAGTCCCTTCTCCTGATCTGAAGCCAACTGATAGGATTCTCTCTCTCTGGGTCTATCCTAACAGGTGTAATGGCAGCCAGCTTCCCCTCCAGAGCGCCCTGGGAGCACCTGTCACTTTGTGGCCAGGGAAACCAAAGGTCTCTTTGCCTTGGTGTTCCCCATGACCTACACATGTATGGGTTCCTCAAACTGAGAGAGGAGATCTATTTCCATGGCTGGTCCTGGCAACTTTAAAGAGAATAACCTAGAAACATGGTGAACTCGAGGTCTGCAGAAACCTGTTGCATGAATGGATTATGCTGAATGCGCCATGAAACCTTCTCGCCAGATCTCTCCCAAATGGGTGGGCTTGCCTGGGGAAGGGGGCTAAGAATGGGGAAGGGGGCTAAGAAGTGTAAATCACAGGTTGGGAGATCAAGAGTTGCTCCTATGGCAGCCTGAGTTTTCCTGGAGAGAAGACATACAAAGTCTTTTTACTGTGTGTCATGATGCGTGCACCATGAACTCAGAACACGACAAAACAGAAACCCACGGAAGCTTGCTGCAGCTGGAGTTGCAGTCTTGGGAGTCCTGTCGAGGCGTAGACTGGTACTGCAAACCCTGAGGGTCACATTGGGCCCTGGGGTCTGTTTTGTTTGGCTGGATGCATCATGCCATAACAGTAATAATAGTAAAATAGTAAAATCCTGAACTCGGTTGCCAACATTCAGGAATTCAGGAAAAAAATACACATTAAAAAAAATAATAGATAGAACCTATTGAATTTCCTTCATCTCTGGGAATGAGAGCCTTGCATTTCCACCTCACAGCTCCGGCCTCCTTAGACAAAACTCTGGCACAAGCACTCCTGGTCTTGTGCTGTGCTGATCCAGCTATGCTCCTGCTAGATTCCAGATTCTACAGCCTCCAATCTAGCCCAACTGTGGTTCACGTTGACTCAGACCCTCCACCTGCAGGCTACACAAATATCTTTCATGGCCACAGCAGGTGTCAGAAGGAACCTGTGCACCTTTCACCTCCTGATCCCGTTCGCCATCTTTACAAAGTCTGAGCAGCACCATCTGCTCGCTGAATACTGAGCAGTTACCACGTGCCAGGGGATGCAGAGGCGAGCCAAACCATGACAGCAGTTGCCTGAAGCACACACCATGCCCCCACGGGCCTGCCCACAGCCAGCAGATCTCTCTGGTCCAAGGGTTTAATCCTCAGGACCACCGGCTTGCAGCAAGCCTCATGCATAAAGTCAACCTCAGTGAAATTAGAGAGGCTAAGGATTACTCGGCACTGAGATGAAAAGAAGGAAAGCTGAAACTTCAAATGCCAAGGCTCCTTAACACCCAGTTTGGACCAGGGAAATCCAACTGGCTCTGCTTTTCTTAAAGGCGGTGCCTGCTAATACACCTGCAGACTCCTGCAGCTACGGAAGAGACACAACTGCGTTATGTTCCCTGCTGTTCACCTGCCCTGCAAGGAAGAACACTGGTTCTGCTCCAGCGAGAGCACTCAGGGACATCTCTACACAGAAACACTTAAGGGAGCCAGGCAGGTTTCCTGACTGAGCTGGCTGGGGATGAGAAGCAGGGAGGGGGGCTGTCGATGGAAAACTTGACCGCATGGCCTTGTCCAGAAGGCGCAGCTGGCGTCTCAGCTCCAGCCAACGGTTTCCACCCCGAGATGTGGGCCTGGCTAACTGCCCCCATCTCGTTTCTCCCAAGCAGCCAGAAATCAGGATGCTTTTCTGCACTGGCAAGGGACAACCAAACAGGCTGGAAAAAAAAAATGGTGCTTGGGCCAAACAAAATAGGCTGCAGGCTAACTCCAGCCGTCCCACGGCTCTGAGCTGAGAAAAAGGCATGGGCTTCAGCAACGGAAATCTGCCAGGGGACATGCAGGCCCCAGGCCCCTCGGTCCACACGCACAGGAGGGTGGGCAGACGCAGCTCTGGCTTGCACATTACCATAAAAAGGTCGAATTCCTCCTCTCGCCGGGCGATCATCTGGTTCAGAGTCTCGTCATCTGGCACTTCATCTTCCTCCTGAAAATGCAGAACAATCCAACAGGCTGTAGTCATGAGGCTGGACCACTGGGGCCAGGTACAAACAAGTAGGATGAACCTGACCTCTACACCAGGACCAGAAGCGGGCTGGTAGGGGCGGGGGGGGAAGGGGATCCCCATATAGCAAGCCAGAAGAAAAAGGAAAAGGGGTGACTCACCCCCAGCTCTCGATCCCCCCCCAAGGGATGGCAAGCTCTTCTGAGCATCCTCCCAGAGCCAAACCCATCTTTGAAGGAAGTGCGCTATGTCCCTACGCCACTTGTGATTCTGTTCAACTCGCTATAGCGAGTTCCTCAATGTCTCCCTGCCTTGACAACCTCCTTGACAAATGAGTGCGAGGTGCACTTTACAAGGTGGTGGTGGTGGGGGGCTCCACGTATTTCCCATGAGGAAAGAAACAGCAACTTTCAGCTTAATCCCGAGTATAAATGCTTATTTCCGCAGGTTTACAAAAAGCCTGAGATACAAAACACGTTGAGTAGGCCTAGAGCAAGCGCACGCACACACACACACACACTCACACACACTCTCTCTCTCTCTCTCTCTCTCTCTCTCTCTCTCTCCAGCTGTGTTGAAGCAATGGGTCTCGGAGGCCAGGATTAGTGCTCATAATTAGAACTTTGGGTGAGATAATCCAAAATGTATCAGCAATGTTAAAAAACCGGAAGAAGAACCTCAAAACTAAACTCCAGTAAATACACATGGAACAGAGAATGCAAACACAGAAAGGTCCAAATTTTCCATTTTCTATGGTGTGACACAAAAGCATATCATCTAATTCCTTGGCAGGAACCAACAGATCTCAAGTTTTCCAGAAATGTTGTGCTGTGAATTCTATACTTGGGGTGGGGGGGGGGGGGGGGGGGGGATAAGGTTATAAAAGTTGTGTATCTACTACACAACTAAGCTTTCAAAAATATATATTTTTTAGATGCTGAGTGGGGTCTTCATAAACAGCTAATGGAGGGGCTTCAGTGCCCCTGTAAGGGGCAGGGGAGAAACACAGGCCAGTCCCACCGCTCAGACTCTCTGAATGAGGCAATGAGTTTTAACCAGAGTCTGGATGCACCAGCGCTTAAATCAGACGCACATGTCAGTTCCCAAAACAACATCTGAACACACTGTAGGAACTTCGTATGTGTGAGAAATGAATGCAATCCGATACAGCAAAGGGGGGAAAAAAATCCTATGAATCAAGAAAATAATTACTCCTAAAAAGCCATCTGTCCTAGCTCACCTCCAGCCTGATCAAAGTCGGTTCATCTCCATATTGCATTTCATCTGGCTTGGACGCAAACTTGATGGCTGCGGGCTCATGCACCCCCTCCCATCCCCACCCCGATGACACAGATGTAACATCTGTCCACCCTGTCTCTAGAACTGCACGTTACTCTCTCGACACCTTTGTGAGTACAGTGGGGGAGGGAGGCACATAGCGCTCCCCTAGGCCTAAGCTGAAAAGATTCTCTTACAAATGAGGCAGGAATCCTGCCTGCCTACCTACAGTGGTCCAGCCTTCACAGACAGCCCGATGCACTGGGAAGCTGGCAACAAAACCGTTCTAGGTTCTCCGTGCCCTAGCATTTCCTGGGGTGTCAACCACAGGCATGGCAGGACAGCCTCCCTTGGATGTCCAGGGCCATAGCCCAAGCCCCAATCCATCTTCACATCAGGAGAAAGGCCACCCACAACACAATGGCTGTCCCTCACATGGGCAGCCTGGCAAGGGATGTGGAACCCAGCAAGATGGCTTGCAGCTAGATGCAAATGGCAGGGATTCTACATCCAGCCCCTCCTGCTGGTCCCCAGGCCTGGAGACCTCCGTATCTCCCTGTGGCAGAGTCAGGTGGCAACACCACAGGTTTTCTTCCATGCCAGGAAGGACTACATACAAGACAGAGACACCAGCACGGAGTTGACTGCTGGAGGAATGCCACCGCTGCCCGCATCTGCTTCATGGATGCAAGACTGCCCATGCAAGTATCAAATCGTAAAGGAGGACCACTTGATGTCAATGTTATTAAGAATTGTTATTTGAAAGCTGGGGTGACAGAGAGAAATGGATCATCCCATCCACTGGGTCACTCCACAGATGACAGCAAAGGCTGGTGCTGGGCCAGTGAGAAGTCGGGAGCACCTGAAGTCTACCAAGGTACCCTGCATGGGCAGTAGGTCTTCAGGGACACCAGTAGGGAGCCGGATTGAAAGCAGAGCAGGTATGGGCTGGCACCACGGCACAACAAGCTAAGCCTCAGCCTGTGGTGTTGGTATCCCATATGGATGCTGGTTCAAGTCCCGGCTGCTCCACTTCCAATCCAGCTTCCTCCTTGTGGTCTGGGAAAGCAGTAGAAGATGGGTCAGGTCCTTGCATTGCTGTATCAACCTGGAAGGCCTGGAAGAAGCTCTGGGTTTCCAGGCTTTTGGATTGGCTCAGCTCTGCTGCTGTTACAGCCACTTGGGGGAAATGAAACAGCAGATGGAAGATCTCCCTCTCTGGGTCTCTTCTTCTCTCTGTAACTTTTGACTTTCAAATAAAAATGAAATAAAGAATGAGAAAAAAGAAAGCAGGGCGGCCAGGGCTGCACCCATATGGGATACTGACATTACAACAAGTAGTAGCTTAACTACTCTGCCACAACACCGACTCTGACAGCAAAAACTTTAACATGCATGTGGACGTGTGAGTGTACCCTGCATTTAGATATTTTTTCATCATCTTCATGACACTCTCCACCAACTCATCAGTTATGTAAGGCCAACAATTCGGAGGCATGAAAACAAAAATTCCCTGCCACTTGTGTGATTCCTTTAAATATCCAACTCTACTTCATCTGTAGGTTCACTTTAGGGAAAACGAAACACTTTGCAAAGATGTAGGCTTGTCATTTATAGACGACTTCTAAAAACACTCCTCTTATGTAAAGCCAAATGGGATTATAGCAGGAAGGTGCAACAGAAATGGGATTCAGCACAAACATGTAAGGGAAGATGATTCTTCCAATTCCTAAGTGTGGGTACCCAAAACCAAATCTGTACTCATCCCAGCCAGTTTCTGGGGAAAATCTGGTACTATTATTTTCTAGACTCGATAAATGCTTCTTAAATTTATTTCAATTCCCATCATTTTTTGGGGAATGCATATTTAGGATAAAATTACCAAAAAATTAGCAACCCAAAAGTATACACAGGAAAAACAAACCAAAGACTTCTCAAAGTTTTCCCTAAAGGAAACTTGATGTATAACCTTAGCCAGGAAGGAATGACTGGGTCACTTGTTTTGTTCAAGGCTTCACTTGCTTTTTTCTTTTGTTCTCAGTCTTTGGTCCTAAAGCTTTTTTTTTTTTTAAGATTTATTTTATTTTTATTGGGATGTCAGATATACAGAGAGGAGAGGAGACAGAGAGGAAGCTCTTCCATCCGCTGATTCACTCCCCAAGTGACCACAATGACTGGAGCTTAGTCAAGCTGAAGCCAGGAGCCAGGGGCTCTCTTCCTGGTCTCCCACACAAGTGCAGGGTGCCGAGGTTTTGGGTCATTCTTAACTGCTTTCCCAGGCCATAGGCAGGGAGCTGGATGAGAAGCGGGGCTTCTGGAATTAGAACCGAAGTCCATTAGGGTCCCGGGGCATGCAGAGTGAGGGCTTTAGTCGCTAGGCTATCACGCTGGGACCTTGGTCCCAAAGCTTTTAAGGGCAATTTGTAAGTAAAGGTGAAGGTCACATTTTCCTATACAAGTACAGTTACTTATCTAAGGATGGCTGTGAAGGTATGTACGGGAGTGTTGTCAACCCTTAATCAGACACAGCAGCGGAAGAGGGTGATCTCTCTGCGGTTCCACATCTGCTCCACAGGAGGCAGCATTTACAATACAACTAAGTAGGCAGGTGGCTTCTCCCAGGGAGAAGAGAGGCAGGCATGGGCAGGGTAGGCAGTCTGGGACAGGTGGGCCTGGTTCCCTGAGATACCTCGTTCTCCTCTTCGTGCTCCAGGATGGCCTGCAGGAAGGCCCTGCGCTCGTGGCTGGAGGACTTCTGATCGAACATGCCCGCCTGGATGACCTTCTGGTCGACGTTCAGCTTGTACTTGGCCGCTGCCAGGATCTTCTCTTCCACGCTGTTGACGGTACACAGTCGCAGCACCCGGACCTCGTTCTGCTGGCCAATGCGGTGGGCTCGGTCCTGTGCCTGCAAGTCCTGTGGGCGAGAACAAGCACTGTGAGGACCACCCAGGGGTCAGTGGAGCCCTAAACACATCTTGATAGTTAAAGGTTAAGGCTGTGTGTATGTTTTCCAAATCTACAGCTTCTTTCCTTTGACAAAGTCAAGATCATTCCTTGTTGAAGGAAACTTGGGTTCAAGTCAAATAAAATGTAACCTGCTTTTTTTTTTTTTAAAGACTAGCTTATTTTTTTAAAAAGATTTATTTTATTTATTGGAAAGCCAGATATACAGAAAGGAGGAGAGACTGAAAGGAACATCTTCCATCCGAATGATTCACTCCCCAAGTGACTACATCAGTTGGTGCTATGCTGATCCGAAGCCAGGATCCAGGAACTTCTTCCAGGTCTCCCATGTGGGTGCAGGGTCCCAAGGCTTTGGGCCATCCTCTGCTGCTTTCCCAGGCCACAAGCAGGGAGCTGGATGGGAAGTGGAGCTACCAGGATTAGAACTGGCGCCCATATGGGATCCCGGCACGTTGAAGGCGAGGACTTTAGCTGCTAGGCCACATTGTTGGGCCCAAGACTGGTTTATTTGAAAGGCAGAGTTACATAGAGGCAGAGCAACACTGAGATGTCCTATCTGCTTACTCACTCTTCAAAAGGCTGCGACAGCCACTTTTGGCCCAGAATAAAGTCAGCAGCCAGGGGCTTCATGTGGATCTCCTATGTGGGTGCAGAGGCCCAAGCACCTGGGCCATCTTTTGCTGCTTTCCCAGAGCCATTAGCGAGAGTGGAGCAGCCGGGACTCGAACTGGTGCCTGTATGGGATGCTGACACCACAGGCGGTGGCTTAACTTGCTGTGCCACAGCACCTGCTCCCAATCCAGGCTTTGAAATAATGTTTTTGGGGGGGAGTAAAAGGATGGGGAAGACAGGGGGATCTGGCATTGTTGCCCAGCAAGGCTAATCCATCACCTGTGACACTGGCATGGAGCCCTGGTTGTTCAACCGCCATCCGGCTCCCAATTAACGCGCCTGGGAGAGCCATGGAGGACGGCCCAATTGGGCCCCTCTATGCATGTGGAGACCCGAATGGAGTTTCTGGTTCCATATAGCCTGCCTGGCTGAGTCCTCTCCGTTGTGGCCCTTTGGGGAGTGTGAAAGCAGGATCTCTCTCTCTCTCCTTCCCTCCCTCCCTCTCTCTCTCTCTAGCTTTCCATGCAAATACATCTTTTAAGAAATACCACCTGTATAAGTTCATCATTAAAATGAGCCCCTGAAACAAAAGATGCTACACCCACTATTAGCTGTGATTTTGTTGTCACCTCTAACTAACCTTGAGTTTCAAGAAACATCTTGGTGTTGCGTGATGAGACTGACTTTGATGCATCACTCAACCGTGTGGACACACGTCAGCCGTGTGTGTGCATACACTGACTGCTCAGGGAGCAACTAATCCTCTCCTTTAGCTTAGAAGAATGAAAGTGGCTGATGGTGGGACAACAGGCTCCTGAGCTGTTGGGGGGGGCGGAGGGACAGAAATCTGGTACTACATATCAAACACACCCAAACTGGTCACGGTTCTTTTAACATTTCCCTTCAGAAAAACTGATGCAAAAGAAATAGTCACGGGCGAGACTGGCCAAAGGTTTGGAGGATGGGATGTGCCCTCTTTGGATTCCTTGTTTGCAATGGCTTTCTAAAAAGCAGAGGAAAGCACCCAGAGACAACAGGTTGCTTGTTATAGTCTCCTATAATGTAGGGCACGGTATACTATCAACATTGCCTTGTAGAAGATTGGGAAATTGGCAGCTAGACCGAGAAACAAGTTATAGATGAGGATGTGTACTGTAATCTTACATGCACAGGTTCATCTCCCCAAGAAAAAATGCCAACAATATCCATTTCTTCGCGGGGCAAGAGTAGCAGCTTCCCTTCATTCTCTTTCCTGTGCTCACAGGAAGCTTAACGATGCATCTATCTTTTTAAGCCTATGCTCTTACGAAAAGTCAATGTGTTAAAATAAAAGCCTCCATAAATCTACGAGGCAAAGCCATATGATTTTATAGCCACACGCCCACGACCTCTCGGTATGCTGCAATGATGCAGTGGAGCCCAGAGGAATGGTTGTCTGGGCCAGTGCTAATGAGTCCCTGACATGGGAACCCTCTGTAAGACTGTGGATGACTGCCAAGGCCAGGGTCGTTCCCTGCATCCTGCTTCCGCAGCACCGTATCCTACACACAGCTGATGCTTGCCAGCTGGGGCCACACCTTCTTGAGCACATGTTTCCTGATCACCTGGGAAAATCCCAGGATTTATTGCTGCTACAGGGACTTCAAAAAGAAAGACAATTCAACAACTCACGAGGCCTGAGTCTTTCCTGGAAGGTATCTGATTGTGTGAATGTAAAAGCTGGAGCCAGGAGCATAAACTGGAGGCTATCCCAGTTAGAAATCTCCAGAGAGGAGGAAGTCAGGTGGAGAATTAAGATCCAAAGGCTGGGTGTAGGGGAAAGCTGTAACTATCCCCCCGGAAGTGGTTGGTACAATTACGTCTCTCAACCCATCTGCATTGGCATCATCACTTCCTGGAATGAGGCTCAGTGGCTTGCTTCTGTCTCGGGTCCAATATTACCTGTTCTAGGTTCCCTGAGCTGGGTCTAACACCCCAACAGCAAGGCTCACTCAAAGGTTGGCATCTCCTTCTTTCCTGTCATATCGTATTTTATGTGCTGAGATGTGGAGGCCATTCCCCAACTTTGCAGACATTATAAAAACAGGTGCTGGGGTGGATGGGGCACATGGGTTGTAGTGTGCTGAGTCCTACCTAGGAGATATTTCTGAAACTACAAAACACATCTCCTCCCACACACATAGCCACATAAAAGGAAAGAACCCAAACACCCAATGCAGGGGTTGGCACGACCAGCCAAGCGAGGAAGCAGCAGACATGGCTAATAGGCTAAGGGGATCTGATATTCTTGCATCCTTGGGTGCTTGATTTCTGTACTCTGGTGGTGGTAGTGATGGTGGCGGACAGTGTGTGCGCACTCAAAATAATCCAGATTTTTGCCAAGTCTGCATCTCTAGGCTGTGGGACTCGATAGAATGTGAGTGTGGGAATTCCCTAGGCAAAAAGAAGGGGGTCAGAGAACGTCATGCTGAAGGGATTGAAGGCTGCAATTCTGGAATGTGCTACTCAATGGTCCTGGTCTTCTTCAGCACGATGCAGGAGTGACTAGGAAGGAACCGGAAGACAAGAGGGCCTCTGAAGGAACCTGGTGACTGAGCAACTCTTGTGTGATAGCCACGCAGCCCCTTGCTCCATGGGGCTACTAAAACACATGCAGGGGCACCCAGTCTTGCTTTTCTAACCAACAGGTGGGTAAGTCTGAGGGTTTTCACTGCTGCTTCCACATTACTGAGTCATATCTTGGCTTCTGGGTAAGATCTCCTAACTTGGAAACATCCAGGCTTCCCTCTTGAATCTGTCAGCCATGTCAACATCTCTAACCCTGTTCCATCTCTCTGCTCTAATGGACTCAACATGATACTGAATACTCAGAACGGTCCCTTCACCGCACGCTGATGCTAATATGATGAGAAGAGATGCGTGGCTTTCATTTTGGACCTGTACTACATATGTGCTAGGTCTACCACAAGTTTATGGAAAATACTTGTTTCTACAATGGCATCTCATGTGGGAGGCAGGCACCCAAGCCCTTGAGCCATCACTTGCTGCTTCCTGGGCCCATCAGCAGGGAGCTGAGTAGGAAGCAGAGCTGGGCCTTTACCCAGGCATTTTGAGATGGGATGTGGGCACCACAGGTGGCAGGATCCAAAGACATGTCTGAGTATGGGTTTGAATCTTGTGTGTGGGCCCTTCCTACCATGCACCTAGCATTTGAGGAGCCACAGACTTCAGAAAGTTTGTGGAGGGACAGCATGGTGACACAGTGCCTGGAATGTCCCTTGTGATGCCCAGAGGAATCATATCCTTATAAAAGGGCCCTTATGCCTGGCATTTCATGGGCAGGTGCATTGCCTCTTTGTAATCAGGAAACCTGTGCCATCGGGGAAATGCCCTTACAGTTGGTCGGCTAGTTAAATCATTCCAGCATTCCTTACCTATCCAAAACGATTTACAATAACACTCAGTAGATGATTTTCTCTGCTAATCATTTGAAACGAAAGACACAGAATGAAGGATCAGTTCCATCCACTGATGGTGTAGCTTTGAGAAGCGTTCTAAGACTCCCGCTTGCTTGACCAGCAAGACACAAAGAAGAATCTCAACTACCTTTTAGGGTTGCCACCAAAATGGAACAAAACGCCATGGCACTGTAAGCTAGGTCGCTTGCCTGTTACGACTGCCATCTCCTGGCGGAGTCCTTCCTGGGGGCCCTGCTAATGCACTTGGTTGGAAAGGCAGCAAGAGATGGCGCAAGTGTTTTGAACCCTGCCATCCATGTGGGATGCCCGGTTGGAGTTCCAGTCTACTCCGACTTGGGCCTGGCTTAGCCCCGGCATTGCAGCCATTGAGTGAATGAATAGACAAGCTGCCAGATCTCTTTCTCTGTATCTCTTGAGTCTGTGTTTCAAAAAATAATGTATGTACTGAAGAAAATAATATATATACTGAAGAAAGAACTGAAAAATGCACATGCAGAAGTTGGTGCAGAGTTAAGGATTCTGTTAAGTGCTAGGGTGATTATTATTATTTTGAAACATTTTTTTTTCATTTGTCATTCATGAAACATATTTTGCTCAAAGGCAAACTCCGTAGAGGATCCCCTGTAGGTTTGAAACTAAACAGAAACTGAGTTTTTTTTTTGGGGGGGGGGTGGATGTTATAAAGAGGTGTGTCTATGACACTGAGACATCTGGGCCAAAGGGACACAAGACAACCAACACACCGATTGCCAAGACCACTTCTATGTTGGGAAACGGCCACCCTGCTCATCATGGGCCACTGCTGACTGCGTGCATGCTCCTATGGAGGGGGCACGCGAGGCCGACTCACAGACCTGGTGAGGGTTCCAGTCACTGTCAAAGATGACCACCGTGTCAGCTGCCTGCAGGTTTAAACCCAGGCCTCCCGCGCGGGTGCTCAGCAGGAAGATGAAATACTGGGACCCAGGCTCATTGAATTTCTTCAGCAGCGCAGCACGATCTTCAGACTTGGTGGTGCCTAGGGGAGATCAGAAAAATAAATTTACCAATGAACTTCTGCCTCAGAAAGGTATGGAATGAGGGGAAGAGATGGCCTTCCAGAAGCAAGACACCCAGGCCCATCTCAACATGGGCCAAGTGATCCACAGGGGCTTTGGTACCCTTTCAAAAGAAATCTGACGACCTGGCATGATAGCCTAGTCGCTAAATCCCATATGGGCCCCGCTTCCCATCCAGCTCCCTGCTTGTGGCCTGGGAGAGCAGTGGAGGATGGCTCAGAGCCTTGGAACCCTGCACCTGCACAGGAGAGCTGAAAGAGGCTCCAGGCTTCTGGCTTTGGATCAGTGCAGCTCCGGCCGTTGTGGTCACATGGGGAGTGAATCCACAGACGGAAGATCTTCCTCTCTGCCTTTTCTCCTTTCTGCATATCTGACTTTCTAACAAAAACACATCTTTTTAAAAAAAACAAATCTGAATATTTTGCAATAAAAAAAAAGAGAGAGGAAGGAGGAGACAGACAAAACATGCAAGCAAAGGCTTAAATGTGTCTGATTAGGCACATTTGCAACTTTACAAGTTTTGCGACACCCTCACTCAACCCCTAAGACCGAATGAAAACATTTCCTTGGACTTAGTATTTCTGAGTTTGGAAACACCAGATAAGGTCTGACACTCACCCATATGCACACAGCTGTGCCGACACTAATGACCAAAATGACTTAGAGCAACGTGCCAATGGGCATTAAAGACTCATTTACACCCAGAGGATGGGGAACAAAAGGTGGTGCCTGGGCGTCACTCGATTGTTCTAAGCATCACCTGGCTGGTATGTCTTGATCCCTGCAAAAAGACACCCAGAGCCACAAACATCTACAAAGATCCGAGGACCCAGGTCTCCTGCTCTACCTGCTTAGCATTCAGAAGATGCTACACTAAAATCCATCCAGTGGAACAGGATGTTACACTTCTCAGCGTTTTCCCCATGGGGGGCGGTCTCTGAAGGGTTCAGATCGGTGGATATGCCAAGTATCCTGCACTTCCAAATTCAGGGCCGGACCCCTACATTCCAATTTAGCCCCTCAACCACAGTGGCTCTCTGTACCACCTGAGCCTGGCTATGTCATGAGATGCTTTAAGCAAGGGGGAGGAACAGCTCACCAGAATTCCATCTGAATCTACCTCACCAGAAAAGCAGAGATGTACAGAGTTCCGAAATGGGCCTTAGGCTGCTGGGATACAACACACACGTGTCACACAACATTCCCAGGCTGGCTGCTAGACAAACATTATTTCTACATGCTGGTCTTTTTATTTTAAAAGGATAAAACGTACCAGCAATTTATTCTAGGGTATTAAAAACAGCTCAGCGACACTGGCTAATGGAATCAAGTTACTGCACGGCTCAAATTCCTATACGTGGACACCTGTTTTTCACATTTAGTAAAAATAGCAAGTACTCCGAATAGGAGGAATTAAAAAAAAAATCAATCACTTCCCTACACAGAGATGAGGAAGGAAGCGTTTGGGGCCCCCTCTTTATAGAATGAAGCTATGGGGCCCGGTGCGATGGCACAGTGGTTAAGGTCCTCGCCTTGCACGCCCGGGATCCCATATGGGCGCCGGTTCTAATCCCGGCAGCCCCGCTTCCCTTCCAGCTCCCTGCCTGTGGCCCGGGAAGGCAGTCGAGGACGGCCCAAAGGTTTGGGAACCTGCACCCGCGTGGGAGACCCGGAAGAGGCTCCTGGCTTCGGATCGGCATAGTATCGGCCGTTGTGCTCACTTAGGGAGTGAATCATCGGACGGAAGATCTTCCTCTTTGTCTCTCCTCTCTGTATATCCGCCTTTCCAATGAAAAAATAATAAAATAAATCTTAAAAAAAAAAAAAGAATGAAGCTATGGTCTTTAGATGCAACTTATTTTCTAGATTTCAGACTGAGTGATCTGGCCAGTGCCTGCCCACGGTAACTGCAGGAATTCATCCATGGTGGGAGAAGTACCGCGTGTGCCTCGTTCAGTGATGTTTCAAAACGGATGGCTCTGCTTTGTTTTCCGATTGTCCAGAGACGATGGTGAGCCACCTGCCGAGAGTGCTCGCAGGAGACATGGTCTGTGTCACTAGGAAACCTTTCCAGTTAAATGGTTATTTTTTTACAGATTTTTTTTTTTAATTGGAAAGTCAGATGTAGAGAGAGGAAGAGAGAGCGGAAGATCTTCCATCCATTGATTCACTCCCTAAGCAGCTGCAACGGCTGGAGCTGAGCCGATCCAAAGCCGGCAGCCTGGAGCCTCTTTCAGGTCTCCCACACATGGATACAGGGTCCCAAGGCTTTGGGCCAGCCCTGACTGCTTTCCCAGGAAACAAGCAGGGAGCTGGATGGGAGGATTAGAACCGCTGTTCATATGGGATCCCAGAGTGTGCAAAGTGAGGACTTGAGCTGCTCGGCTACTGCTCTTGACCCTAACATTGTTACTTTTTAACAGTAACTTGTATACACTAATGGTTCTCATAGGTAAGGTTGACCTGCCCCGGAAAGAAGAGCCACGGGGGTCGGTGGGGAGGAGAGATGGGGCTAATGCCATGGCAGAGTGGGGTGAAGCAGCAGTCCGTGGAACTGGCATCCCATCCGGGTACCACTTAGACTCCAAGATGCCCCACATCTGATCCAGTCTGCTGCTTGTCACCTGGGAAAGTAATTGAAGACACAAGTACATGGGCCCCTGCCAACACACGGGAGACTTTACAGAACAGCTCTTAGCTCCTGGCTTCATGCTGGACCAGCCGCCGCCATCCCAACCATTTGAGGCAGTAAATGAGTGTTTGGAAGACCTCTCTCTGTGTCTGTCCCCACCTCTCTCTAGCTCTCTCAAATGAATAAACCTTTAAAAATTTATCAAAAAAGGGGAGAAGAAGGGCTCTAAATTATGATGACGTCTAATGTAAGGTACATCTATGTACTCCTGAGCATACAGCTTCAGCAGCTTTGATCAACCGGAAAGAAAAAAAAAACCAGTTAACCACCACATAATCAACACTTAGAGGAGATGGCTCCTTAGAATTAAATGAACTCCAAGTGCAAAATAAAGCAGTAAAAGCCAAAAGAAACATCCAAACTTCCTTGGTCAAACAGGTTTCCAGGTCTTGTGTTGCTAAGCGCACACGGCCTCGATATATATTTGTACCTTACATCTCTAAGTAGCTGGAGATCTGACAAATTCTAAAGATGAGCACACAGAAGAAAAAACCAAGATCAATCCGCTTTTCATGCGATGCCATGGCATTTCTTATTACATGGTCCAACATTCTCCACCTCATGGTGGCCATCGATCAAAGATTCCCAAAGCCAGCCCGTTGTGGCCCATCACCGTGTTGCTTTTTGCCCAGGGAGACTCCCGTGGCCACGGCTAAGTCTCCTTGCAGGTGGCACCGAAGTTAACAAGCTCAGGACTCGCATCAGCTTCACAGTCGTTTAGACTTTGATGTAGTACATCATCCACTATGAGGACATGATTAACAGCAGCGGCAATTGTGTTGAAAATTATAGAATTTGCCAGAAGGGAACACACTGCCAGACTTTCACGCTCAGGCATTTTAATTCGCTTTCAGCTGCTTCTGGAAAATTTTATTCTCCAGGATAAAACTCCACTAACTTGCTCTCACTCAAAAAAAATCCCTTTCCAGTTGAGAACAAAAACTGTAACGGAATGGTCGCGAAATCCCTTCATACCATCCCTTGGGGGTGGGGAATGTGCCTCGCTCTGGTCAAGGTGATTTTCATTTTCTTCAAAGAGTCGAAATCTGAGACGTGCAAACTCAGCAGAGAAAATCTGAAGTCCTTGTTAACAGCTGGGTGAAACCTGGGGCGGAGGGGGTGGTGCGGCTGGAAGCACGTATGATAATTTATCTATGTGTACACTAAAGGACCAGGCGCAGCCCCTCCACCCGCCACACAAACGGCTAGTGCTGGTTGCGGAGACGGACCTGCGTGCCGTCCTAGGTTCCATCTCTAGTATCACAGCCCATCTCCTCTAACCTAAAGCTCACAGCTCTGCCAGGTGGGGCTTTTGTCTGCCCTCTCCAGGGGCTGCGTTTTCTCAAGGAGTGGCTTTGAAACTTTTTTTTAGAGAAGTTTAAACTCATGCTTCAAACGCTTTCCTTGGAGAAGCGACTTATACTTTTAGCAATGGGTTGTTATAGCTTGCTGTGCCTACCGAGACAGGGCTAATTGGCAATACCAGTGAACTTGAAGCAGGAAGCAGTTTTCCCAAGTACATCTGTTTCGCTTGCTTAGCAAGGAATATTGTACACAATGGTCAATGGCGCCTTATTGGTCGCCGAAGAGAAAGTCATAGCACACACCAGCATCTTTGCCCAGTAACCCACCCGGGCCAGGTGCTCCGTAAATGCTGGCTCTTACTGCCACAGCAGTTATGAATAACAGTACGGACAGCGGTGAATGGTCAGACCATGCAAAGGAGTCTCTTAAGCTGGTGAGGAAGAGCAAGTTCAACCAAGGAAACCACCTCTCACCAGCTTGACAGATTCGAGAACTCGAAGGCTGGAGTCCTCGGGAAGCCAACGAATTCAGCATCGGCACAAAGTAACAGGAGGAGGCTAATGCAAGACACCTGATGGGGTTGTAGACCCTATGGGTGGGGATGAGGGAACAAAAAGAGCAAGGGCTTCCAACGAAGAAGTCACCTATACAGGGGCTTTGGTACCAGGGTGTGGCCTGCAGCTAAGCTGACTGTCAACATTCAAGTTTCCCTAGCCTAAGCGTTCAACTTGGAGGGTGCTTTTACCCTCGGGGAAAATCCATACAGAGAATTCATCGACAGGCTCAAGGGCTAGAAACGCCTGGCCGGTGTTGAGTTTAGTGTTTGTCCAAGTTCTAGTCTGATGGAAGGCAAAGTGTGGTGTTGGAAAGAATGCAGTCTTGTGATTGGAATGCACATCTTACATGGCCCCATGTGATGAGCACACGGGTGCTGCATTGCATGAAAACTGCAGTTAGCAGGACTGGCCTCTTCCATGCAATCCTGCCTGTAGACAAACTCCCCTAGTTAGACACCGCCCCTTGAAAGCATCATCTAGCCCATACTATAGGATGAAAGGCCAGATCCAAATCGTAAAGGAATTCAGGGACCATCCCTAGATTTGGATCTGCTTCCACTCCTATGTGATGACCTAATCTCAGGACGTGATATTTACATTTCACCCTTTAGAGAAGGCAAAAGGGTCACAGAGCTTGCAACATCCAGGAAGTTAACAAAGCCACAGCTCTGCTCAGGGTGCCATGCGGCTATATTCTATGCAGAAAGAGAAGAGCAAGGACAATTCATGTAACTGGAAAATGAACAACCACTCTGCTCCTGAAGAAAGGCGTCCTGACCTCTAACCCCAGAACACATCAGTGGTCCGTCATCGTGTTCCATCTGGTGACAGACGGATGGTCGAGCCTCAGAGCAGGCATGACTTAGCATGCATGACGCTACCTGCATGTGTGTGGGTTTGAGCCTAGGATGAACAGGTGTGCCAACAAGCCCAGGTTAGCTTGAGGATGCCCAGCCTGCTGAGCAGAGCGACTGTACCCTTCGCTGCAGGTCATTCCTTCTTCACTCTCCCACCTCCTTTTCATTAAGGAGAAGGACTCTAAGCACTGGCTAATCCACTCACCGTCCAGGCGTAGGTAAAGGAAGTTGCGAAAGGCGAAATAGTCCTCCATGATGGTCATGAGCGAGGTCATCTGGCAGAAAAGCAGCACGCGGTGATTGGTCGCTCGCAGTTTGGGCAGGATACGATCCAGGAGCTCAAACTTGCCTGAGGCCCGGTATAGCTCGGCCCTGAGCCCCAAAAACACAACAGAGAGAGAGAGAGATGCAGGATGACTGCTGTCCTCCTGAACTATCCAGTCTTGCTCTGCGTGTCACCCAGTCCCCTTGTACATAGCCAACATTCACTAAGGACTGCGTGGACAGGTGGGTTGGATAGATGGGATGAACAGCAAGCTACAAATCCATGAAAATCTTTAGTCAAAAACAAGGGCAGAGTGCATCGTATATGCTGGATCTTATGACAGATCCTAAGAAGAAAAGGAAATCTTTCCACGCTCCGTATCCCTGGTCTCTCTTAACCCTAACACACACACACACACACACACACACACGCACACACACACACACACACACACACACACACACACACGTATATGTCCTATTTCTTTACATCCCTACTTTGCATATCAAATTATCAACAGTGAGACAACTCCTGTCCACATGTGAGGTGCCAGCAGAGCTTGGCAACCTCCTGGCCCTGGCCTGCCACCCCGTTGGCAAATCTAGCTTTACTGGAACACAGCCATGCTGATTCCTTTCCGGGCAATGCCTGGCTGTCTTCGAGCCCTTCAAGCCAGAAGCAGGTAGGCTCTAACACACCCGAGGGTCCCCCAAGCGGAAAACACGATGGTGTGGCCTTTCCCCAAAGAAAGTTTGCCAAGCCTCAGTTTCGGGTGTCAGGGGCCAGCTCCCTGAAGACGGAGCGTTTTAGCTTAAACCTGACATAACGACTGAAAAGGAGTGAATGCTCGTGGGTGGCTCTGGGGTGGTGAAGGGGAGATCCCACGGAGGGCAAGGAATCTGTGATCAGGACCGCACCAAGAAATCATGAGTGTAGCTTAAATGTAGGTGTGTGGTGGCAGGAGGGAATGGGAGCGAGTTCTGTGGCTCTGTTAGCTGCACTCCGTGTTTCTGGTTCCCCTACAATGGCAAACCATTGATGGCTCTGAATGGAGCGGCGGTATGATCTGAAGGATCTTTTGCCGTGACAGCCAGGGCTCATGCACTGGCTGGGTTGGATTGGAGGGGCGGGTAGGATGGCAACGTTACAGCAAAGCTTGTTAAACCACTGTCTGCCCCTTGCATTCCATTTCAGAGTGACAGAGTCACAGCCGCTCTGCTTCCTATCCAGCGCCCTCCTTGCGTGTGTTTTAGGAAAAGCATTCAAAGATGGCTCAAGGGGTGCCCTACCACCCACAGAGGAGACCTGGATGAAGTTCTAGGCTCTTGACTTTGGCATGGCCCAAACCTGTCGTTGCAGCTACTTGGCAAGTAAACCAGTGGCTGGGACCTCTCTCTCTCTAACTCTGCACTTCAGATAAATAAAATCCTAACAATGACAATAGTCAAAACAAAACTGTTTGAAGTCTCAGCAAGTCGTAAAACACTGGGATACTGTCAACTCTACCGAATGAGACCTCTGTCCTTTAAGTAGATATCTGCTTAAGATAAGCGTCATCGATGCTGATGAGGTCAGAGCCAATGATGGCATCACCTTCCGCCCCTCCCTGGGGAGCTAGGAGGGTGAGGAGGCAGGGCAGGTAGAGGGGAGGCAGAGCACAGGAAACCCTGCAGCCAGTTGGCTTCTAGGTGGGACCGACAGCTCTTGATTTGGGAAAAAACAAAGGTGTCTGAGACTTACCCATTTATGACTCCGTTGGAATAGCCCAGGTGTTCAGCAAAGGATTCCTGCAAGAGAGGGAGAAAGGCATGGTGCTTTACTGCTATTACTAACTCAAGGGTGACACATCCCATTTATTTCTAAGGGAAAACTGCAGAGAAACAAACAAGCAAGCAAAAACCAAAACAATGAGTGAATCTGTGTTGAATGTTCTGGAACCTCTGAGTACAGAACTTTGGTTGCACCAGGAGTGCTGTTCTATCAATTTCCTGCGAGTTTCCCGTGAATTTTCCTGCCCTCCCCTAATACAAACGAGGCCCTCTGTGTATCCCCTCCCGGGCAGTGACTCCACACTCAGAGTCCCCAGACTCCCCACACAGTCCCCTCCTCGCTGACTCACAGGACTAAGCCAATGAGGTTTCCCGGAGGGGGTTCCTGCCTTCTGACTTTATGGAAATGAAGCATGTCCATGGAACATGGAGCCACCTGCCACCTGCCACCTCCCATTCCTGTTTCCCTGCTTTGCTGGTCAACTGTGACTCTAGGCTCATGGGACCAGATCTTCTCTTGTAGGCTGTACTCTCCAACACACGCCTCCTAAGCGGGAGGTGTCTGGAGCGTAGCGTGCTGCCCTGGTGCCAACCTGACACGGTGCACAGTGATGGACAGCCCGCTCCAACTCCTAGAACTGTGCGCCTGTGCTCTTGTTCCTGGAGTTTCAGTGCCACCTCTCTGTCCGCACAGGACTGTGAAGACCACACGAGTATAGGATATATCCATGGACCGTGGTAATCCTCAATCTCGCATCACTTCAATACCTTGTCTTCTTTCTACAGTCTCAAGGTCCCAGCTAGTAGCGCAGTAAGGAGAACAGCTTTGAGACTGGGCTTCTGGGATGACTGAGTGGGAACACAAACTGGTATGGCAAACACACAGCAAGCCCAGGGCTGATGCATGTGCATGTGTTGGCCGCTGACTGTGGGCCTCTGGTCTCTAGGAACAGGATCCCCAAACTTTGGGAGTATAATAGCATCCAGTGTCAAAGCTAACACTGCCTCAGACACTCACACCCCACGCCTGAGTGCTGGCTTTGATTCCTGGCCCCATTCCTGTTTCTACTTTTCTGCTCCTAGGAACTCTGGGAGGGACTAGGTGAAGCCCCAAGGACTTGGGTTCCTACCATCCACATGGGAAACCAAGACGGAGTTCTTGGTCCTGTACTTAGGCCTGGCTATCGCTAACATTTGGAGAGGGGAGCAGCAAATGGGAAATCTATCAGACTTCTCTTTTTGCCTTTCAAAATACGTACATAAAACCATTAAGACTATTGCAAATCGGAATCTCCCTACAGATCACCAGTTAAGCAGTAGAGTCTGCAGACTGGCACTCCAGCCAGAAGCCCGAAGATGAGAGGGTACCCTACACTCCCTTCCCAACATGCTTGAGGGGTCTGGCTTCTGCGGGCCAATCAAAACCAAGCCAGACCAACATTCCCCTTCCCCCATTCCTGAGTGCCCAGAACCCTCGCGAGATCAGACAGAATGTCCCAAGATCAGAAGAAAAGGGGGGCGTAGTGGGCAACAGGGTCACCCTCCGTGACACCCCAAGGGTGTTCATCAGTGGAGATTCTCCCCGGCTCCCCTGCCACCAACACCACCAACACCAACTCACTGATCGCTTACATGGGCCATGCTTCACATGCTCTTGTTTCAAAGTTGACTCTCTGGAGTAATGTAAACTTAGCCTCTGGTTGCAGATCAGGCATACTTTAAGGGGTGGAGATTTTGAGAAACCTCTGACCCCACTGCACAGGTAACAAAAGAGGCTCATGGGGTGACAGCTGGAACCTCCTTCAACTACAAATCAAAAGAGCTGTGGCAGTGGGGAAATTTTCTTTAAAGTCGTGTTGCTGTTGGAATCAATGGCAGGGATCTGATGAAGGCCTTGGAGGCAGAGTAAGACCGATCCCACCCTCTGGGCTTCTTGGTGGGTGGTGTTATTGTTTTTTGAAACCTAGCACATGGCGGGTTACACTCAGGCTTACCTCAATATGCTGGAACATGTAGGGGTGATTGCAGATCTTTCTCAGCTGCATGATGGTGTTCATCAGAGTCTTGGCTCCTCCTTTCCCCTACGGCCCAGGAGAAAGAGAAAAAAGGAGAGTGCACGAGCCGTTTGGCACGCACCATCCCACTCGCCAGTTGGTGGGAGCACAGACTACCACGGCTGCTTGCGGAAGTCAGGATGGAGCGCGCCCGGACAAGTGAAAACTCATCTACCCCTAACCCAGCTGTCCCGCTTTTGGGAATACATCCCAGTGAAACGAGATCTGCTTACGAGAAAGTGACCTGCAACCTTATTTTACAGGAGCAATAATGAAGACGTGGGACTCTAGACACCCAGCCAAAGAGGAATGGATAAAGAAACTGTGGTACGTGTGTTCTATGCATGAGATTCTATCATCTGCAACAAAATGGTCTCAACTGGAGGCCACCATGTTCAGTGAAATAAAAGGACAAATGTCGGGCCCAGTGCAGTAGCCTAGCAGCTAAAGTCCTCGCCTAGAACGTACCAGGAGCCTGTATAAGTGCTGGTTTGCATTCCAGCAGCCCTGCTTTCCGACCAGCTCCCTGCTTGTGGCCTGGGAAAGCAGTCGAGGACAGCCCAAAGACTTGGAACCCTGCAAACTGCATGGGAGACCCAGAAGAGACTCCAGGCTCCTGGCTCTGGCTTGGCTAAGCCCCAGCTGTTGCAGCCACTTGGGGAATGAATCAGCAGATGGAAAATCTCCCTCTCTCTCCTTCCTCCTCTTTGTATATCTGACTTTCCAATAAACGTAAATACACCTTTTTTTTTTTAAAGCACAAATATCGTATGTTCTAAGACGGCCTTCGTGCAAAATACAAAACAAATATCTAGCTAAACATGAATATACACATGTCCTTATACATGAACTGTAGAATGGAAACTGGCATCCTGAGAAATGAAGATACATTACAGAATGGATCAAAGGAGGTCTCCCACAGACACAGTATGGCACAGTTGCCCAGGGAGGGAAACTGCATTTTCACACCCAGAAAGTCAGTCTGCACGAACGCAGGGGGTATTCCCTGCAGAACAGACGTGTGCGGCCCTAACTAACTCTCTTGCTAGTGGAAATACACTCCTTCTTTGTCTTGGTCTTCCCCGCCCAAGGCAGGTTAAGAAGTTTCCTATGGCACCTGCGACAGCTAATTAAAGATGAAAAGCAACAAACAAAATACAATCACATCAACCAGTCGATACCAGTCCTGGGACTCGTCGATGCCATGGTTGTGGCCGGACCTCACATGGCCTTGGGTTATAGCACCCTGCCCGCCACCTCCACCCCCGCCCCCTCCGGTACCTTCTTATCTTTCTCAGATCCATCTGTGAGGAGGATCCCCTTGGCCTGCATGTGTCGGTAGAGGATCTTCTGCAGGGCCGACATGTCGCACTTGATCACGTATTCCACCTGGTGGGAGCAGGGGCAGGGCAGAGAGGAGAGCCGGTTGAGAGCGAGAAGGATGCGGTGCCCGCTTTAAGGCAGCGGCGGAGACAGATGCTGGTGTCGTGCCCAGATGGCGTCGCCGGTGCCGCCACCTTGGAACAGTGCAAAGCTGTGTGGGAGGCTTCCAGCCTCGTTATTAAGGTCGCCCTCATGCCGGTGGCACACTCAGAAGGTGACACATAAACTGAGGCTGGGGACGTGCTTCCAGAAATTTCTTGGCTCCATTCATTCCATAGTGGAGAAGTAGCTGATGACATTTTGGCGCAAGGTATTTTTAGTATTTTTCCTGCTTCCCAATGATATTGCCTTTTGTGTAAACAGGGAGAGCAGTGACTGGCTAATAACACGCCTTTTGAAAAAAACAAACTAACAAACAAACAAAAAAAAACATGTCTTACATGGAGACATGTGGCTAGTCTTCAAGGGCAACCCAGCCAGGGCAACGGGTGGAGTCCACTTTCAAGGTGCACGCTGAAGCTGGGCAATGAAATTTTCCTGAATCCCAGTTGTGTCAGACATTGACCTTCCACCAGCCACCCCTTCCCCGACGTAAGACGGTTGACGGCTGTTTTGTGTGCACGAGTGCGTGGCTGATACAGAATGGGGACCAGCACCCTGAACCTGCTTCAGACTGGTCAGCTACTCCTAAGACAGAGGTGGCCAGGAGGTGGGAGCAATGCGTGATGATGCCATGTGGACATGGCAGCCATGCCCTTTGCATATCCTCAGCAGAGAGGTGAGCGGGCCTGGGAGATCTGACCACCACTCCTGGGATGAGGAGTTTTACAACTAGGCTTGGTGGAGTTTTGTTTCTGAGAACTTTCCAAACAGTTTCAAGGTCTCGTGTCTGTGGTTGCGTTTTCCCCACCACCTGTTCAGGATGCCCTGGAGCTTCAGCTCTTTTCTCTGAGTCTTACTCTGCCTCCAAGACTTTCATCAGATCCCTGCCATTCATTCCACCAGCCAGCACCAACTCTTCATTTTGTTTCTCCCTCCAAATGGCTGGCCTCGAGGCTCCTTTGGTGGCATTCCTGGGTTGGGAGGATTTGGTGAGCTGTACCTTTTCAACAGGTGTCTGCGTATCTACTTGTGAATGACACACACATGCTAATATGGAGGTCCTTCAGAAAGTGTGTGGAAAATCGAACTAAAGATCAACGTGGTGCAAGACATTGTTTTCAAGTCTGGGCACGCTTTTGTTTTTCATAAAACACGTGTTCCATGAACTCTTCAGAGCCTTCTTGCATTCACGTCTGGGAAACGGAACGATGTTCAAGACAGACCACGTCAATCCCCGTGTCGAGGTGTCAGTTTGGTGTTTTCACCTCTAGTCAAGTACAGCCTCGTTACCTACTCTGCATGCGGCTGACCGTGAACCTAAACACCAGCAACAGGGCGGGCAAAGGATGGCCCCTCTCCATCGTCCAGCTATGTTCATGCTACTCATCATCTCTGCCATCTGCCCTCCTTTGTGGAGCTGATTCAAGTCCTTCTGCGGGTCAGGAATATCAGTCTCGTTAAAAAAAAAAAATCAGATTGTATGAAACGCCTATTCCCAGGGTAAAAGGAAACTCACTCACGGTGCCTCACACTGGGCAGGAGGTGAGGAGCCCAACCGTGAGTGAAGGGGATAGTCAGATGCTCTGGGTGAGGGAGGTGCCTGCTCATGGCTGTGTCCCAACTGTTGCTACTCAGGAGGACTTACACAGCCTGTTCCAGGCACAGGGCTGACTTTCTGACATAGGCACTGGCACATGGGTACCAACAAACACCACACTGGTTCTTAAATATCAACAGGGCCAACTTCCAAGAAGAGAAAACAAAATGTTCTATGTAATGGTTTTGACACACATCTGCACTGTGGTATGTGGTTGCCAGCAAGTATCCCTCCCACACATACTCATAGCCACTTGAGTCCCCTCCCCTAAAATACATGTAACTGCCTGGATCATTCATTCTGGGGATGTAGTTGACACAGTCTTCCATTGCAAAGCCAGTATTTAGTTTGTGTATATGGCACTTCCAGAGCTAGTCAGCTGGCCTCTCACACCAACACTGCTAATTCTGGGGTAGCCCCTGCGCCTGCCAGGGTCTGAGTGTGGCACAGACGACAGAGCAGGCAAGTGGAAGCTATGAATGGAGAAAAGAGAGACAAGGTGAGAGATGTTACGAGAGTGGGGACAGGGGCCTGAGTTTTGGCACATCATGTAAAACCACTGCCTGCAATGCCAACATTCTATGTGGATTCTGATCTGTGTCCCCATTGGTCTTCTTCAGATGCAGCTTTCTGCCAATGGGCCTGGGTCGGCTGCAGAAGATAACTGAACTGCTTGGACCCCTGCCGCTCATATGATACACCCAGTGGAAGGTCCTGGCTTTAGTGTGGTCCAGCTCTGGCTATTGTGGCCATCTGGGGAGTGAGTCAACCACTGGAAGATTGTGTGTGTGTGTGTGTGTGTGTGTGTGTGTGTGTGTGTGTGTGTGTGTGTGTGTGTGTGTGTGTGTACACATGCATTTGTCTGTGTCTCTCCCTCTCTTTTTCTCTCTGTAATTCTGCCTTTCAAGTAAATAAAAAAATAATCTTAAAAATAAGGGGGGAAATTCAGTTTTACTTGGTCTGAGTTCACCTCCACCAAAAACAAGTAAAAGTGGCCTCTGAGTACAGCATAAGAGTTGACGTTTCCGTAGCTGTTGAGGCTAATGAAATCTCGGTCATTTTTACAGGAAGTCCCCCAACAAGCGCCTGCTGAGGATCACTAGGACTCTTTTTGCTTATAATTTATGTGAACTTAAAAGGTCAACCCCAGGTACACAATTATCTCCTAAGTATTCTTACGTTAGTACCTGAACAAAATGGTCGCTACAAGCAGCCCAACTGGGCGATAATGTCGGGCCCTAGCCTCTTTACACCGAACTCTACAGAAGGACTCAACCATCTTCCTAGTTTCTACCTTTGCTTATCATGTCCCTCCTACTGATGTTCCAACTGTACTTTTTAAACTGAGATTTTATTTACCATACAGTTTTTTTTTTATTATTTATTTGAACAGTAGAGGGACATAGAGAAGGCACAGAGAGGGAGGAAGGCCAGGTAGGAGAGAGGGAGGGAGGGAGAGAAGAGAAGGTGGAGCCAGAAAGGTCCGACCCACTGGTCCCACTGCTCAAGTTCCAGAGGAGGCCTGATCAGGCCCAACCCAGAGGCAGGAATTCAGTCCTGGGTGGCAGGGAAGCTGCTATAATAAGCCACATCTACCAGGGTTTGCGATGGCAGGGAGCTGGAGTCAGCAGCTGGAGATGGGACTCACCCCCAGGCTTTCTGATAGCGGGCTTCCCAAGCTCTTAACTACAGCACCAGATGTCCACCCCGAGATGAAGAAATTCACGGAACACCATGACTCAGCTAATAAAAGTCTTGGGTTCTAGGATCCATACCATGATAGAGGAACAAAGTAATGATTATATTAAATGTTACAAATATATAATACAGAAGTTATCCATCTTATATAAATTATGCCCAAACTGGGACTGATTTAATGAATCTCATTCAATGTGCATATATTTCAGCATACTGAGCCATCGATATACACGACAGCACATGTAACCAGTTCTTGGGGACATAATGGAGGGGACAATCAGAACAGATCATCCTAACAGGGAGTTAAAAAGTCAATTTTTCATGTAGATGCCCTTGATAATAGCAACCACCGACAAGGAAGTGGACGAAATGGAATCCTTACACACTGCTGCTCAGATTACCAAATGGCTCCAAGAGTTTAGCAAACCATCTACAACCATCTACATGTTCAGCAGAGTTACCAACACACTGACCTTACCTCCAAACACTCGTGTTCCCAGCTATTCACTCCCATGAAACCAAAGGCCGAGTTCATGCCAAAAGCACATACGTACACAAACACGTGCAGCACCTCAACCCAGAATGGTCAAAAACTAGAAGCCATCTGAACGTCCCTCCACTGCAGGGCTAAATTAACTGTGGCACGTAAAGTTACACCAAGCAGCGGTGGGCGCAACAACTTGGAAAGTGTCTCCGACACAGGACATTGAGTGGTAAGAACCAGATGCCGAATGCGCCTGACTCAGTCCACAGAACACTCTGGAACAGACAAAATCCTGGATCAGAGATCACACGAGGCTCAACAGCTTGACTAAAATGGGGCAACCATGAGGAACTACTTACAAGGGGTAAGTGATACCATGTTGTGTATTTTGGTGGTGGGTACAGTTAACGTAATGAAATGCATCAGTCGAAACTCACAAAATCATAAGTCAAAAAAAGTGTAGTTTACCACGCGTAAATTGGAAGAACAAAACTTTCGTACTGATCATCGTCTCCAGAAAGATTTGGGGGAGCATCCCTCTGGAGGCATTTAGCCTTTTTTTACTCTGCACTGTCAAAGTATTCTTTCTGAAAAAAAAGTATTCAGAAAGAATACTTTGAGCCTGTGTAAGTGGTTTGTGGCTATAAACTTTGGAAGACTGAAAAAGTTTCCCTGCCCTCAAAGATGACACTCAAGTTTCCACATCATGTCCTTGGTAGTAAGGAATGCAGATGTGTTTTGAGACAGGAGACGTAACTTTTTGACAACCTAGAAAGTCATACATCTTAGTCAGTCAGTTAGCTGAAAGTTTAATGTCATTCCTGGCTACTCAGGCAGCTGACATGTACAAAAAAACTATACAAAAAAAAAAGATGTTCATAAAACCGAGAATTCCTTTGTGATGCGTTGTGTCTTCCCACAAGGCCCAGGCTGCTGAAGTCTGTGTTTTTCTACAGTGGTATTTCCCAGAGCAGGACATGCTTTCAATTGTGGTGTGTTTTCTAAAACCCATCTCTGCCTCTCTCTGTCACTCCGCTTTACCGAAGAATGTATCAATCTAAAGATCTCTCTTTAGTGGCCAGTCCTCATGAGAGGCAGGCATTATTCAGCCCAGATGTTGGAACATCTGTTTCCTTCTCATAGCAAAGGACCTGGGTTCCATTCCCAGTTCCAGCTCCTGACTCCAGCTCCCTGCTCAGGCAGCTTTAGGGAACCCACAGTGGTGGCTCAAGGGGTTGAGGCCTTTACTACTCCTATGGGAAACTTGCCTTGAGTTCTTGGTTTCTGGCTTTGCCCACCCCGCCCCACCCCATCCTGGGTTGGGACCCAGGGTTGCTACAGGTATCAGAGAAAGAGAGAGTGAACCAGCAGCTAGGCCTTCCCTCTCTGTCTTTTTAAAGTTTTATGAAGTGAATACATGATGAGTTTTTCTACTGCTTCTGAAGAAAAACAAACAAACAAAAAAAGCACAGGACAAATTAAAATCTTAGCATTCCATCTCTACAGCATGCAGAAGTGCAGCATAATAATACACTCGAGAGTGGCTCATGGTAACCACATCCATTCAGACAATGCTCCATCTAGGACTGAAATAACAGTTCATGTTATTGACATGAACTTGACATGGCCCCATGTTGAGCTAGGCTCCATCTTAGCTGAGGTACCCTCCACCCAACCCCATGAGACTGCAACCCGGCTGAGAAATTTGCATTCCGCAGGCCAATAAAGCTCTAACCCCTGGCTAGGCTGTTCAAGCTTGACTAGGGCAAAGGGGGAATTTCACCTGGTATGTCACAGATGCTCACAAAGTCAGCCACTGCTCTATGCCCGAGGTAGTTCTGCATGAGCTCAATCCCCGTGAGCCACTTGTGATCTGTAGTTTTTGCTGTTCCATAATTTGGGGTTGAGAGGTCTTTGGAGCATGAGCCTTCTCTTTACTGCTGGCAATAAACAACTTGGGAACTTAGGGTGTGCTGCTCATGTGTATCGACTCACTTGTGTACAAGAGAAGAGAAAGAGGGCCACCCAAAGCCAAGACGGGGGAAGAAAGGAAGATCCAACAGCACTAAAGCCCCAGGCTGAAAGCACCAGCGACATAAGCTCCTCAGACATCCAGAGCTTCACCGGGACAAGCCTGGTACAGACGAGCTCTATTGTTGACCCATTGTTTCTGTTCATGAACACAGGATTAGGTGGCTCAGATTCTCAAACCGATCAATTCTGGTACACCATCTTGCCTGCTCCTACTGACAAATAAGCAGGCGGAGCGATCCGTCTCACCCGAGTTCCACACTCAGCAGAAGTACAGTCACAGACACCTTAGAACTGGCTCGCCAAATGCAACACACCACCAACGCAACTCAAGAATCCCCGGCCCAACAAGCAACTCGTGATGCCAACCACCCTCTCTCAAACGGAAACTCAGCGTGCATGGTTCCAGGACGGGATGAGAACAACGTGAAACTCGACCAGATTTAACCTCAAACCACAGGGCTGAAGGCTCAAAACGGATACTGCAAGACCCTAAAACCTCCAGCTCCATCAAGACAGACAGACACACAAAAACCCATTCAAAATGTCCATAGGAACTTGACGTTCGCGGGGCAGGACAGAAACAAAAACATGTCTGAGAATAATGATAGGATCTGCCTATAATTCGCAGGAATTCTAAATCTCAAGGACCATCAGGAGGGTGACGTCACACACAGCCAATACTGAATACACTTCCGGGAAACCTGGCATGTTCTCCATGCCCTTCGGTGATGACACAAGTATCCCCGCGCTCTCCAATGGCAGAGTTCTCGCTTGGCTCGCAAACAGAGCAGTTCTGCCAGTGGGTGCTACCCTGAAACTCTACGTGGTCAGTAACTTGAAACACGAGAATCTCAAGTTTAAACAAAATCAAGTTCTATAAGCTCCCTCATTTTAGAAAATCCGCTTAACAGCTTTGGGCAATTTGGTTGAAAAATGCTGCGATCTTCCTTTCTCTTTCTAGCTTCATCAGACAAGGAAAAAAAAAAACAACCACTTTCACCCATTTTCAAGATAAGCTGTCATTAAAAATATGGTCTAACTGTTTTTTTACGAGGGAACTCTTCAGAGAGAGGAGGGGGGTCTTAAAAAGGAGCCACGCCAGCAAAACAACTGCGCGTAAGACTTTGAAATGAATTGTTCTCTAATTCCACACTTCCATGTTGTTTGAAAGCATCCTTATCATTTCAGGGAGGGAAACAACAACTCAGAACTTTTCAAGTTGGCAACCTACTTTTTCTGGAAGCTGGGATTCCACTTCTTTCTTGAGTCTCCTCAGTAGGAATGGCCTCAGCACTTTATGTAGACGCCTAATGATCAAGATGGTCTCCTCTTCATTCAGGTCCACCTGTAACACATCCCTCTGTGAGTTTTCATTCTTCTGGAAGGATGTCTCAGGGACTAAAGCATGATGGCATGGGACTCTCAAGGGCTTTAGTGTCAAGGTCAGAGCCAGGCGTGTGCCTGTTGGGACCCCTTCTTCTCTCAGTTCTCTTCTCACCTGCCGGCCATGGGGTATAACCCCATGACCTCTACACGGGCATCTCTGGCTCAAGGCTGAGTTTCACGGAGAGGACCAAGGGGTTTCACTGGTTGGAAATCAGCACATTTTGTGAGATGTGGGCGAATTTATGAACCATCGTGGCTGATGAAGAGTGGGGAATGGTGAATGCCTTCCTCATGGAGCCTGAGGTTGGGGCCCTCTCGTGTTTGTGGACTTGGACACGAAGAGATGAGGGTGTCAGCATGGAGGCAGCAGAGGGCAGACATAGCAGACGTAGGGACTCCTTCCCCCACCGCACTTTCATCTATTTTGGGGGGGTGGGGAGGAGAGGCCGGAAATCAACCTAGTGCCAATTTGTGTTAATTTTTCGTTCGTTCTTGACAGTGATTTGTAGATAAGAACTTGAAGAACATGAAGATACAAGCATCCCAGTCTGTGGTCTCTCCCCCCTTCCTCTCTCAGCCTCTGGGGGGGACACGGCGGGGGAGTAGGGCTGCTGGACATGGCCTCCTACAAATGGACGAGCCAATCAACACAGGACAAACAGCCAGTGTGCTCAGCAGGGAACTCAAGATTAAAGGGCCAAGCGTATTTTAAACATCAATTTCACCAAAGCGTGCTTCGTGGTTTTCCATTCCAACCATTAGGGAACCACTAATCCACATGACAGGGACCCTTTTTTCTTTCCTTGCAGTGGCCCATGTCTTCCTTTCAACAAAGAGCTCTAAGAGGAGACAGCTGACAGGGTAATTATGATCCAAAAATGGCTGCCTCAGGGTCCAAGCTGGTTTTTTAACCCATATACAAAACTGGGGCACACCACCAGAACAAGAAGAACCTACGTAGAAGCAATTGGCATAAACCAGTGTTGTTCTATATACAAACTCGTTGCAAGGAAGCCCAAATGAAACTGTGTTCGAGGGCCAGTACATTGATGCCACAAACTTCCTCCTGTTCATCCGGAGGTGGCTAAACCCTCCACCTGCGAGGAGCCTCCTCCAGTGGCCTGGGAAAGATGTTAACAGAAGAAAAAGGACTTAGGACACCCTCCCATGCCACTCAGTTTTGGCGGGGGGAGGGCGGTGAGGGACTGTGATCCTGGGGTTCAGATGGTATGCACCCCGCTAAGCAGCTTTAGAAGACCTGCGAGATCTTCAAACACCCTAGGGTTTTTTCCTCTGGCTCTATTGCTGTGAGCTGGAGGCTTTTGCAAGTCCCTTCCATTGTCATGCAGTGGGAACAACAGAATTGGTGCCAGTACCCTTTCACCCGTCATGGCAAACGGAGCGTTAAACCATTGTTCGAAGGTGCTGCAACTCTTAAAAATCGTGGGGAGGAGGAAGTTGAGGAGGGCCCAGAGTTCGGGGAGCTTGTTCTGTAGCGGGGTGCCGGTCAACAGGATCCTTCTGGGGGCCACGTAGTGCGTGTTCAAGACTTGGGTCAGCTTGCAGTGGTGGTTCTTCATTCGGTGGCCTTCGTCCACGATCATGTACTTCCACCGAATCTGTAAAACACACCAGAGGGAGAAGCCACAAGCAGGGTCAATGCAGAAACTCAACTACATGCCAAAGGGCTAGAGGTGGTACAGAAAACCAAAGAGGCATGCCTGGTCCATGACAGGCTGAAACACTCCTTAAGGACACCTAGGTCTCTGCTGATGGACTACTTGCCATCCCGGATGCCATGGCGGAATGGAAAGCTGCAAATGGCAGTGCTCCACACAGATCACGGGCTCTCCAGACACTTTCCACAGACCAGGAAGCTGTGAGCCCTGGGTCCAGATCCTCTTCCTCCCCAGCCTCCCACCCTCGTTCACCATCACACGCTCCCTGAAGCCACACTGGCTGTCAACACTCTAGGATGCTATATGTTCTCGAGTTCATGGCCACACCACCTCAGCTCAGAGAAAGCATGCAATCTAGATCTCCACACACAGGAGTTCACAACTCCTTTACACACACAACTTGAGAGAGAAAAGAGAGAAAAACGGAGAGGGAGAGCATTCATCTGCTAGTTTACTCCGCACATGGCTGCAATGGCGAGGACTAAGATAGACTGAAGCCAGGAGCCAAGAGCTTCATCAGGGTTTCCCATATGGAAGGGGTCCAAGCACTTGGACCATCTTTGGCTGCTTTTCCAGGCACATTAGTAGGGGGCTACATTTGAAGTGGAACAGCCAGGATGCGAACCAGCACCCATGCGGGAGGTTCAACAGTATAGGCAGCAGCTTTGCTTGCTACACTGCTGGGCCCCATTTATTTAGCATTTTTGTTTTTTTGAACCCAGCAACTGGGCTACCCAGCTCATCCACTGCACTTATCCAACTGGCCTAGGACCTCCCCGTATCCAAGGCGCAAAGATGACACACTCCTTGGAAGGCAATGCAAAAACATCACTTGTGCCGTCCGCCAACACATGACTGACTGAACCTTACAGGCCAACAGTGAATACCTTTGCAGGATCCTTCCTCCCAGCTCCCCACAGCCCCATTTTCTTCTCTCACACCTTAACCTTCGGCCCTCTCTTTCAGACCACTGCTGCGTTTCTTCGGTGGGAACAATGAGAAATGTTCCACTGAGCCTAGGCATTCCCTCCAGAAGAGCGGCGGTGGCCAAGAAGAGCATATGGTGTTCAGCTGTCCCTGGATCCTGCTGCAGAGAAAGAGAGAGGAGGCAGGCAGCAGAGGCTGCGCCGCCCTCGCCTTCCTAATTACAAGTGCTAGGAATGCCAAGGGAAGAGGCTGACACTTGTCAGCCAGGTGGGGAGGCCCAGGAAAGAGATTAGTAAGAGAGAGAGAGAGAGAGACAGAGAGAGAGCGAGAGGTCTTTTACCACTTCTGCCAAAAAATATTCAAGAATCATCACAATTGTACCATGCACTGCTCCAAACTCACCATCAGCATGGAAACGGGGCCAGCAGACAGAAAAGAATGGAATTACGTAAATACTGTAGGGCTACTTCCTTGCCTGACTTAGTTCAGGGAATTATACACAAGGCATCCAATGAGTTCTGAGATCCATATGCGCCAGTCATACTAGGATACCTTCTAAGACAATCTCACACGTACACACACACACACACACACACACTCCTGCAGAAATGTCAAAAACACATCTTTTTTTTTTTCTTTTGACACTGCCAACTTCCTGAGGAATAGCATCGGAATCGTTGCTGCGCCATCTCAATGATGAAAATCCTTCTCCCTGGGAGATCACCTCTCCTTTAGATTTTTCCCAGCATGCCCAGAGCAGAGGTGTACGTAATGCGGAGGACCAACAAAACCCCGCCCCAGGGGCCGTGGGCCAAGCTGGTTGCTATAGGTTTTCCATGAACAGCAAGGGGTAGGAAAAAAAAGAGAAAAGCTTTCATTCTTTGTTCCGTGAAAAGACAGTAGGACATGGACGTCTCAGGAGACAGGATGGTATATTATTGTACACACACACACACACACACACACACACACACACACACACACAACCAAGAACATGTACTTAGCGGCTAAATGACAGCTCAGGACACACAGATCAGGAGACATGCAAATGACAGCACTGACTCCTTGTGAGCTCCGGCTCTGAGAAATGCAAGCAAGGCAGGGCTACGACAGCTCCGGGACCGACTGCATGGCAGCCACGGGAGCCACGGGGGTCACAGGGGCCATGGGAGCCACAGGGGCCACGGGGGCCACGGGAGCCACATCTTGGGCAAGCGCTGGAGACCAGACAGAGGTATTTCCTGATCTCAGCAGAGAGCAGAAGTGCAGGAGGGAGGAAGCTGTGCTGACAACCAACAACCCAGGGCCACAAAAAAACAATGATATCTTTCCCTGAGCACGCTCAGGGTTTTGTTAGAATAGGAGTTGAAGAAAGCAAACCAACTGAGCTTGTCAAAGAGATGTAAACTCATTGTCTAGGAGAAGATAGATAAGAGACCCGGGGTCTCTCTCTCTCTCTCTCTCTCTCTCTCTCTGTCTCTCTCTCTCACACACACACACACACACACCTCATCCCCAGAATACAGAAAATTTAAAACACATGATCCAAATATATCGGACTCTTAGAGGGAAAAATCAGAAAGTGAGAAACTGACCCAAGCCACGTAAGGATAAATTTCTTCCACTGCGCGTAATTCGGGATTATTCTGCACCACCGCCCGCCCCCCCAACCGTGGCCGTCCAACAGCTGGAGATGGGAGAATTATTAAAAGCAAAGAAACCAGCAAACCTACCTTTGCAAGAATGTGCTTGTCTTTTATAATGTACTCATAAGTAGTCAGGAGGACATTGAATTTGCCACTCCGCAGCTGGGGCACCAGAGAGCGACGCATGGCAGGGGTGCCCTGCGAGGAGAGAGAAGCACAGATGCATGGCCCGGTGGGAGCATGCGCATGCCCCCCCACCCCGCCCCGTCCACTCTGCCTAAGGGAGCCGAGACCCGAGGCCCGGGTATGTGCACGCATGCGCTGTCCTACACTGCCCTGTTGACTGTGAACCTGATCTTGGCCATCCCCAGCGCAGCCCTGATACGTCCCGGGGATGGTTCAGTAGGCAGCCTGGGCAACGCAGAGGACAGCCTGACTTTGAGGGTGCAGGCAGGTCAGGGGGTGCCCGTAGGGAGTCCCGTGAGGAGCGCAGAGAACGTGCGATATGTGTCATTTGTTATTACTCTCCTCGGAAACCTCGCAATATGATAATTAACAATTTTCTTCTGCATTTCACTATCTGAAAGTAATTATGGTTTATTACAGTAATCTTCTTGGGATGATTAACTCTCACTGTTTGGTACATGATGAACATGACAAAACTTTACAAGCCAATACAGTTCACAGATGTGCATATGGAGCCAAGAAAACCAGGTCTATTTTTTTTTTTTTGCATTTCCCCATTTATATATAAAGACGGCATTCCAAACCTTGTAAGAAATTTTCACCACAGAAGGAGCCCATTTGTCAAATTCATATGTCCAGTTAGATAGAGTCCTACAGAAGAACAAAAAAAGACACACACAGAAAAAAAAAGAGATTTATATATAAAATTCATTGGTTAGAAAGATGTTCTTATTCATTGTCAGGTCCCACCTTCACAGGGGTTGGGGAAAATAAAATATGATTCCACCTACATATTTATTTGAAAGGTGTGGATGCGAGATAAGTCAGAAACAAGCTAGCACCAAGCACGGCAAATTTATTTGTGGAGCGTTAAATAAAAAGTCTCATAAGAAAACAAATTGCAGAATACATAAACATAGCACAAATCTACATATTCATATGGCACCAGCCGTTGCCAGAGTGGTTTTGGAAAATCTTTAGAAACAGCCGTAAAAGTTCAGAGAAAACTTGAGTCAGGAAAAAGAAATTATAAAAGCACATGAGCATTTCAAACAGATCTGCCACGAACAAGGAGGGAAAGAAATCCTGATTGACTTTAAAAAAAAAAAAATCTCAGGAAATGTCACCATAGTACTAATCAGAAATATGCAAAACACAGAGAAAAGGCAACTGGGACCTAAGGTATACAGACGTATTAACATTCCAAGAACAGGTTTGCCAACAGCGCTCAGGTACAACAAATCGACAGAAAAAAAAAAAAATGGCTCAGGTCGAAGCCCAGGCTATTCCAAGGCCAAGTTTACACGAGCATTGGCACTGGTTCCAAGATTTCAGGGAACTGAGCTTCAGTCTTGGTACCCACAGCTAGGTACATAGAGAGTGGCAGGGAGCCAACTGGTCTCCCTCCACCCAGCAGCATCTGCCAAACAGACCCACCTAGGAAAGACCCCGCTCCCGGGGGTGGGTGGGGGAGGACAAGGCGCTCGAAGGGTGCCACCCCGCAAAAGTGAAAAGTTCAGTCACAGAAACATACACATTCATTCGCTCCATGCAAACCTAGAGTTTTAACTGCAGTTCTGCTTTGAAAGATACAAAACATATCATCTCTTCAATAGCTACATATGCATGCATATAACTTTGGTAAGCAGAACCAGGAGACAAAGTCTAAACATCTTTCAAAGGGAACACACACATCATGCACACACACACCTTTCCCCTCCGTGAGTCATGAGGGAATGCCAACGAGACCCACACCAAGGAGCCTGCAGGCCCCACTGCCAAGGGTATCCTTGGAAGGGTGGGGTAGGTTGGGGTGGGGTGTGCTGGGGGTGCGGTGGAGCGGGGCAGGGTAGGCAGAAAGCCAACATTTACATGCAGGCTTCATGATTCCTGATCATTCTACAACGTGCTGCCATTTCTACCCCAAGTAAGAAACAAAGACATATAATAGCACAGTCTACGACATCCAGAACGGCGACTGCGACGATAAATGATTCACTTACGAGAGGGGAACGATGATGAGATAGGGGCCATTGAGTCTTTTGTGCTCCATCAGATACGTGATGAGTGCAATGGTCTGTATGGTCTTTCCTAGCCCCATTTCATCGGCTAAGATTCCGTTCAGATTGTTATTATACAGGGAGACCATCCATTCCAGGCCCTGCAGCTGAAATGAAGAATAATTGCTTCAATTAGCCAAGATGTGCACAGGTAATTAATACTAATACAACTCAAGTGAGGCTGTGACTTCCCCCACTCCTCGGTGCTCCAGGCTGGGCTTCCCATGGCAGGCAAGTTGGAGGGACGAGGGGAGCATCCGGACGAGGGGAGCTTCCAGGCGAAGGGGATGGAAAACCCGAGGCCTGCTATCATTCCCGCTGCTTGGCAGGTGCTGAGTGTTAATCAGATTTAGACATGATGGCTTGCAGCACACGGGCGGGATTGTAAGCGGATTTGCTGCTCATCCTACTTAGCATTTCACAGGATACAACATTCTGGATTTATTATAAACGAAGGAAACCAAAACCCAAACCCAGTCCGACTCTCTCCAAGAACCTAAAGCCAACGGGAGGATTCAAGAGAACCCGGAAGGCGGGCTCGGCACACAGATGCCCAGATCATCACAGACAGCCTTTGGAGTGATGCGGAGGCCAACTCCAGGGTGGGAAGAGGGGATAATGGAGGAGCCAGGGCCACTCTGGTGAGCCCACAGGAGGGCATCCCTCTGGCTGGCAGACAGAAGTCGCCATTGGTGCTGATTGCCTGGAAACAGTCCTGAGCCAGAGATTGAGCATCGGGGTCCAACACTGGGCACAGAAGAAAGGTTGGGTAAAAAAACAACAGCAGCAACAACAATTGTTCAGCCTCCCTACCCCCAATCACCAGTCCTCCTTCACCATCACACCATAGATGCTGCGCTGAAACAGTGGAAATTATTACGATGTATTTTTGCTCAAGTCATCCTAGATTGTTCACCCTGACTTGCTTTAGGTACCAACAAACCAACAGAGTGGTTGCTTGGAAGTACGGATTCAACGACTACTCTGTGTAACGAGCTACCCAAGGACTCAGAGCTGATGGAGAGCAAGGTGCGTAAGGATGCAGCTGCCCTAGCCTTCAGCAGCTGCCAAACCAAGAGGAAACGCTCAATGCACAATGCATGCACAGGTATGCTCAAGTGACCCACGGGGCCCATTTACATCTGCATACTTGTATGGGTCCAACTTTTTCTTAAGGAGACACTGCAGTGTTTTTGAAAATCGCACTAAGTCTCCTGGGGTCCCCCTCGTCATGCCAGACTCCAAGTGGTCCTCATGGTGGTTGGGAGAGCTACAGCCACAGCGGGAGACAAGGGAAGAGGCAGAAGATGGAGGGGTCGGGGAGAGAGGAATAAACAGAATCCACAAGTGGTGGGCAAGAGCGACTGACTGTGTGCAACACTGAAACTAGCAGACCTTCAGCAAAGCCAGCTAACTAAACACCCAAACATTCTGTCACTGGGAGTGGATCCTCTTTTTTAAGTGAAAATCGGGGAAAAGGGATGATTTCGTGTCTATGCTAATCCCATTGAAAGCATTAGCAGCTGGGGTAGGCACTGTGGTGTAATGCGGTTTAGCTGCTAACTACAATGGCAGCAGCCGTATGGGTACCAGTTGCAGTCCCGGCTACTCCACTTCCAATCCAGCTCCCTGCAGATGCCCATCTGGGAAAGCACTGGAGGATGGTCCCCAAATGCTTGAGGCCCCACACCCACCCATGTGGCAGAGCCACACACTTCAGACTCCCACCTGTGGCCTGGCCTAGCACCTGGCTTGTCAATGTGGCCATCTGGGGAGTGAACCAGTCAAGGGAGAATCTCTCTCTCTCTGTGTCTCTCCTTCTTTCTGTAAATCTGCCTTCTCAGTAAAAAAAAAAAAAATGAATCTTTCTGTTTTTGTTTTTAATTATCGGCCAACACCCCAGAACATGGCTCTCCCACATACACATGGCTGAAGTTGGAGGCAGAGTTAAATTTGGGTTTGTCCATATGTCAGGAGATCCGGCTTGGGAGAACACGTGATCTTGCTGAGGCCAGAGTGGTGACCCTCAAAGCGTGCTTGAGAGAGAGACTTCTGGGGTCCCTATAGACTTTTTCAAGACACATGCAAGGTAAAAATGTCATGGTCTAATGTGTACCTCCTAAGATGGGCTCTGGATGACATGTGTTTCACAGAATGGTAATAGTTTGCGGGATGTGTGAAAATTGGGCGTGGTGAGTCTGAGAAGCCTGGGAAAAATATAAATGACATCCGGTTCCACAGATGAGCTCCCTACGGGACATGGCTGTGTGGCAGGGGTCGCACGGTTCTTTCTGCAGTCTCTGGCAGTCAAGGCAGAAGGCTGTAGAAGACAGCTTGGATCAAACACCTGTTAGGTTGACAGCCTGCTTATTTGCCAAAACACAGATGCCTATTGCGTCGCGGTACCTGAAAAGCACGCACAGGGAGAACGGAGCAGACACCTGCTAGGTGATCCCAGCCACGGTGCGGTGCGTAACCATAGCAACGACCAAAACTTTTCACAGAAACACATCTCTGGCCTCAGGAAGAAGTGCAGATGTTCCCCCAGGTTATTACAGAGGGGCTGGGTTTTCCATTTGCAAAGAGATCCAGAGGGAGGCTGCTCCAAGCAGGAAGTCAGGGCCTCTTGAAAAGTCACCCCCCCCACCAAAACTGTCAAAAGGAAAACTGGTCGGGCATGCCCCAGGTGAGCCGGTACCAGGAAAATCCCGTAAAATGAGAATTACAGGCACCCTGGGGAGCCCCCCCACTCAGTCTCCTAGCAGACAGGACCTGGGCAAATCCCCCGTGATCAAAACTGCCAGGCAGTCTGCAAGGGCAGGACGGCACCCCCTGGAGGCGCGAAGAAGATCGTGACAATGTACACACTTAGCTCTTTTCTCAGTTACCTGGTAATGCTTCAGGGTTCCGTTAATGAGCAGAGCCGACTGCTTCTCCACCCTCTCCGAGATGGCGTGAGCCACTGTGTAGTACGACTGTGACCCTCGGGCGCTGTACTGCATGCTGTATTCATCATCCACGTCTTGCTTCGCGGTCCTGGCAGACACAGGAGCGTACAATCACACGCGGACATCTGCAGGGAATGCTTAGCCTAGCTAGCTAGCTCAAAAAAAAACGAACGGAGAGCCCAAGATGGCTGCAGTGTGTGGTGGTTAAAATATACTGCCTGGAACCCTCACACACAGAGACACAAACAAGGAAAGAACGCCCGTGGAGACTTCATCTACCGGGGCCATGTAAGAGCTCGGGAAATGAAGATGCGCACGCAGGCAGGTGCCTGAGCTCAACAAACCAACACCTGCACGTTCACACTTTGCCGGTGAGGTTTTTCCTACGCCATTTGGATACAAAGGCAGATTCGGTTCGCCGCCGTGCCTGCAGGTCAGGAGTAGCGGTCAGGAGTAGCGACGTGAGTGGTATTAGCCAGTCTTTTGCTATCCATTGTTGACCAGCTAGTATTTTATTCTTTGGCAACACAGTTACTAAAGGGCTTCTAAGACTTTCAGAGAAGCGAGCTAGAGAAGTGAAACGGAAGTCCTTACTGTGGAGCACAACCTTATACGACAAACAGAAAATACTTTCTCATAAAAAGGGAAAAAAAAACCCTCATTTCCTACATTTTTCTCCTCTGCATATCATTTCAAATTTTCTTTGAATGGTAGAACCACACGAGCAAAACGATGTGCAAACCACCAATACAAATGAACGGGGTGAGCGTGGAGCCGGGGTGGCCGATGCAGGGACTCCGTGGGAGCCGCAGGTGCCCAGGGATGGGGAGGGGCGTTGTATGTCTCACTTGGGCTTCTCGGTCAGAGCTGATGTCATTGAGGCAGTGAAGCAGCCAATGGGAGGGTGAGATAGGGAGTTGATGAGTGCGTTCTGAGATGGAGGTCAGATAGAAGGGATACGGGGTGGCGCCCAGAAGGAAGTCTGAGGTCCAGAGGGACAACAGGAGGGAGAGGAGCATGGGAGGGAGGCAGGGGGCGGAGGGAAGGCATGGAGGGTGACAAGGAGGAAAGAGAGGAACAGCAGGAGATGGAGGAGAAGGAAGGAGAGGGGAGAGGATGTGCAATTGGAAGCCCTTCCACCATAGAGGGGACTGCGATCTCAGAGGGCATTTAGCTCCAAGTGGAAAGTGGGCATGAGGCCGGCTCCCTTGCCAGGGGAACAGACTTCCTGTAGCAGGGTCCCCAGGGAGGCAGGCGACAGCTACGCACTCAATAATCTGCTTGGCATCCTTCTCAGAGACTTCCTCACTGTTGGGGTCCAGGAGAATTTTCTCTTCCGTTTCCTGTCTGCTGGACTCTTCTTCCTCATCCTGGGCAAGGGAGAGGGACAAGGGGGAGAAAAAGAAAAGAAAAAAAAAAAACAAACCAACAACCACATGTTAGCTAGGGAATTGCTGTAATCAGCATTTCTGGAAAAGAAATTCCAAAGGCATTCTACTTCACGAGATGTTAACCTGGGGAGGGAACAGGTCGGACATCTGCTTATCCAAGTCCCACACACCATTCCAGGACTGTTTCAGTCCCTGGAGGAGGCAAGAAAGAGACCTTCTGGGGGAAGCCATGAGACCAAGACTGCCAAGAAGAAACACATAAGCACCAGCGTAGCTCAATGGATGCTTGTTGCCGAGTTCTGTGAACCACCCCCGCCCCCTGCAGCTGACTCTCCTAAAGCCACCGCTCAGAACTGGTCCCCAATCCACGGGACTAGCTATGCCAACACCCACGGGACTCGGGCCCCACATGTGTCCACGGCACAGGGACTGGAGTTTCTGAGCCTGCTGCTGATTGGGCGTGTGTCACATCACACATGAATGTCAATTACCGGCCAGAGGACTCCTTTCTCACTCGTGACGTTCAGCCATAGTAGCAGCATGACAAGATTCACTAAAAACATTCGTCGCGTCTATTCCTAACCTGGCAGTGAAGGCCACACGTCCCTGCAGACAAGCCAGACGTCCCTCGCTTAAGCAGGTGTGAAGGGAGCCTCGCTTTCCCGTGCCTCTTGGACGATAAAGTTATAAATGGATGTGATTTCCAGGATAAGGCCAAAGCTGTGGTCACAGGTCTCTGAGAAGCAGGGAGGCTGCCCATGGACCTGGCCTAGCCCCTCCATCTTTCAGGCGAGGAGATGAAATACGTGGGAGGAAATGTCACTAAAGCCAACTCACTCATCACTCACTCGTGCCTGGCCCGAGGCCAGGAGTGGGTCTCTCCCATCAGCCGCCCAGACCTCTCTGAGGTTGTCTGTGGTCGTTGGTCTTGATCTGGCATCTACTGGTCACCAGATTTGTTTCATTTTCTCTCTGCCCTCTCCCTGGCTTTTCTGAGCAAAAGGCCAAAGTCCTTCCTAGGGAGCCTCCACTGGCTCAGCCATTCCAGTCAACAAAATACAATTGGAATGCTGAGTTTTCAGCCTGTACTGGTCTTGGTGAACGAGAAGACGAGGAAGCTGGGGTATGCCCCCGCCCCTGGAGCACTGGCTTTATTTGTGGTTGTCCAGTATTGTAACGTAATTTTTTTTTCTCTTCTTTGCCAAAAGCAGTAAGTCCACATGGTAGATTAATTTAGAAAACACAGATCGCAAAACAGAAGGGAAAAAGCAATTGTCTCAGGAGCCCAGCGCGATGGCGCAAGTGGTTGAGGTCCTCGCCTTGCACGCCCGGGATCCCATATGGGCGCTGGTTCTATCCCAGCAGCCCCGCTTCCCTTCCAGCTTCCTGCCTGTGGCCTGGGAAAGCAGTCGAGGACGGCCCAAAGCTTTGGGACCCTGCACCCGCGTGGGAGACCCGGAAGAGGCTCCTGGCTTTGGATCGGCATAGTATCAGCCGTTGCCCTCACTTGGGGAATGAATCATCAGAAGGAAGCTCTTCCTCTCTGTCTCTCCTCTCTGTATATCTGCCTTTCCAATAAAAAAAAATAATAATAAAAATAAATATTTTTTTAAAAAAAGCAATTGTCTCAAAATACTGTAAGGCTCTTATCAGGAGGGCTGTTTTACGCGGTCCTTGGCATGCAGGCCATGACACTCCGGCAAGCAACAGACGTAATGACCACGTTGTTAACGATGGTCTACATAAAGGAGAATCGACTTTAGTCTTTCGGTTGGTCCTGCAAATACCTGAATGATTGCTTCCTTGAAAGCAGCCAAGGCTCCCATTGCTGCTTCCAGACACACTCCTCTCAAGAGAATGAGAAAAGTGCTTCTCGTTGGGGGAAAATGAATGTCCGAGAAATTCAAGTGACAGACACGCTGAGAGTGACTCCCAGAGAGCTTGGACAAACACAGGAGGCCAAGTCCACGCTGCCCTTCTGGTCAAAGTTCTCGCCAAGTTCACAAGTCCCCGTAAAGGCATAAGGGCACCTTATGCTCAGGGTGGACCCTGAAGAGGCATTACCCTAAATTACCCATCTTCACTTCTCCCCAGAAGGCCTCTTCTATCATCGCCAGATGAAGGCCAACTTCTCTTTTGCTGGGCTCCAAGAAGTTGAAAACTCACACTGTACCCCCGAGCCCAGTCGGGCAGCAGGCCCCCAGAGACACCTGCTCCAGGAGGCGTGCACCGTCAAAACTTCTGCAAACCCTTAGTGCCAGTCATCATGCAAAGGCCAACATGGAGGAAGAAGAAACAGATGGACACATGGTGGGCTGAGTCTATGTTTAGGAAGAAGCTTCTACCCCGCCGCCCCCTTCAACTTTCAAATCAATAACTCCCAACACAGACACATAACCTACCTCCTCCTCATAATCGGATTCACTCTCCTCACTGTCCGATCTTGGGGCCACTTCGTAACTAAAGGAGAGAAGCGGGACAGAGCAGATGGGTTAGCTTCTGGGGACTCTGAGACAGTAGACCCACGTGACTTTACGAGCACATTTCATGCTCTGAAGACAAGAGCAGACAGCTTCCACTGTGTCTGCAAAGGCCACCCTGTTAGGGTTTCATTATCTTGTGAGCATTACCCCGATGGGGGAAAGTCACCAGGAGCCCAACAGTGACGTTGCTTGTTTACCGTACCCAGGATTCATTTCCAACCAGGCATCCAGCTGGCTTGCTTTGGGTGCTTCTGGTCCAAAGAGGACCTTGCCGGTTTCCGTGTGTGTCACTTTAACAGGGAGGTCACTCATCTGACTGCTCTCATCTATCGGCTATGAGACAGGAAAACAAAACCAAGAAAAGAAATCATGTCACCGCTGGAAGAGAAGACGTCTGTCCGACTCTGGGTCGCAGACCTCTGTGTTGGTGGAAATCATACTACGGAACAAGCCTTGGTGAGAAAACAAAGTGAATTCGCCAGCCACTTAGCCAGCTGAGGTTCAGGCACAAGACCTGGCCTTTATCTACCGAATGTACTGCCCCAGGAGCTGGGTGAGCAGCTGCGATATCCGTGGAGTGGGACGCAACAGGCGCACTGCAGGGAGAGTAGACCACACCCATCTGTTGGTTGTGCCAAGCACCTGCCTGCTTCAAACAGCATCCTCTCGGAGCAAGTGGCACTCTGCATTTCACTGATCAGAACCCTGGGTCTAGTAAATCAGCATCCCCAGGGATCTGCTGAGCTGTCCAGGATTCTATTACAGGTTGAGCATTCTCGGTCCCAAAGTAAGACACCCAAAGTGTTCCAAAAATCAGAAATGTTGTGACCATGAACTACGACATCATCAAGGTAGAAAAATGCTACGCTCATTTTTTTTTTTCTAACAAATCAGAAATCCCCAAAAAACACTTTTGTAGTGCTAAGCATATAAACTAAAGAGACACACAACTTGTAATATATTCTGTTCTTGTGGAAATCAGGCAGAACTGATTCTGGTCACTTGCAACTCACAAACTCCAATCCATCAATTAATACTGCTGAGATAATTACCGCAAGGCTGTGGTTTCAGTTAGAGAAAAAGGAACCCGTCTGACAGCCCATGGCATCTCCTGGCTGGTTGGCTTGGCTGCCACAGGAATCAGGGTCCTTCCTCTAAAACCAAGCCCGTGTATCTTTACCCATGGCATCTGTGCAATACAGAAGGAGAAGGGCTCTATCCATCCAAAAGCCATTGGCTGAGACTGTGCTGCAATTTCTTCCTGGACTCCACACAAGATGACTCGCTCGGAAAAACAAAAAAATGCAGGGAATAATGGAAATGGCAGAGGTTGTACTAAAACTACTTCAGACAACCAATTGCCATCTAAGACCTACACACATGGAGCAGTCCTGTGCAAATGATATGCTTACTGATGAAGGGGTGACGAACTTGTAGGGGCAGACACCCCAGGGAAGATATTTGTTTGGAAACACTTGATTTGTGATAGTTCAAGTGATCTATCTTCTGAGAAGGAACAACATGGCGTGTATGGATAACTCATTAATCTCAAAGAATTTCTTCCTAAATCCCTCTTAATTGGTTTTCTGGTCAAATAAATAGAGAGAACGCTAACAGCTGTAACTAGCATTGCCATATAATTCACTGTTCAATTAAGCAAAAATGATAGGGGAAAAATTATGCCAAAGGTCTCATCAGAAAAGAATAAAGAGCAAAACAAACAAACAAAAAAAAAAATCAAAAGCCTACATCCGGTAATTCCTTCCTCTACTGCCTCAACAGAGCTCTATCAGCATAAGCAACAATAGATAAATTATCTACAAAAATGACCTCAACAAAAGCGGGGACTCACTCTAAGCTGCCTCTTCCTCCTCTCCCAGGTGCATCGCTTCAGTGTTCCCTGGCATGCTAATGTGATGCTCCTTCCTCAAACACACAGAAGGTCTCACACACACGCCCACAAGACAGAAATGGAAACCGGTACCCAACACGGGGAACCGTATTTCATTCTCTGGAACTGTTTCTAAGGCGGCTCCTTCTATGGCTAATGCCATGCCTCAAGTCAAGCTGGAAGCCGCTGTAGCCCAAGTGATGGATGGACGAGCCTGCAAGATTACTGAGAACACGACTTCCAAACAAACAGAGCAGTGGGTCTGCTGTGTGTACCAGGTCAACAGCTCATTTTCCTAGGAGACAGCGAGAGACAGCACGTGAGCCTGGGTGCACCTGCCCTGTGCATCCGGGGGATCATAGGCGGCTGTGTAACCAGCTGGAGTTACACCAAACTTCAGCACATCAGGAGTTGTTACCAAGTGCTTCTCATCTTAGTGTTTTCATCGCGACCTCCCACCCTCTACCCTGGTACCACAGTGAGTGTCTCTTAACCCCAGACACCTCAGCACTCAGAGAAGCTTATAAAAGGCTAAGTACTATAGACTATTAAAGGGATCTCTGGGTGGGAACGTTGTCTAGCCTTTTTTCCCCCTCCATCTAAGCTGCTGTAAGTTCAGTTTCACCTGCCTACATGGTGATTCTAGAATGGGAAGAGCCAGTTCCCCTCCTGGCCCAATCCTCCAGGCAGGTGTGCCAGAATCTTTGAGAGGAAGAGAAGTCTGGTTGAGGATGACTCACTTCTCAGCCTACTCTGGGGCTGTGCCTCTCTGCTGAGTAGCACTGGCCTGGACCCTATGGCTTTCAGAAAAAAAGAGAGAGAGAGAGAGAGAGAGAGAGAGAGAGAGAGAGAGAAGATCCAACCAATAATTATTTCCTTGTGATTAGGGAGAAAACTGAAAATGATAGGAAAATAAGATGAAGAAGATGATAGTGAAGGCTCACAATTCACAAAGTTTACATAGAATAGAATTAACAGGTAGTTAACTGCAAATATATAAATAAATAAAATAAAAACCAGGCACAATTTTTTGCATAACATGCATTATTCCATGAACTTTCTGAAAATCATTTGTATTACAATACCATGAAAATGTCAAAAACGAATGAAATGTCGAAAAATAGCAATTGTCAGGTTCATATATTTTTATAACTACAAATCGGCAAAAAGCCAGGAAAACTACATCCTGTTTTATGCTTCAGTACTTGTTGACAAACATAAGTATAGAGGCACTAAAGGGTCTTCGAGCTGGAGCCGTCATTATGACACTGCAGGTACACAGCCTGGGAATCAGCGTTCCTACTGGGGGATGGTTCGTGTCCCAGCTGCTCCACTTTCCATCAGTTCCTTGCTACTGTGCCTGGGAAAGCAGTGGAGGACAGCTCGCGTCCTCCGGCCTTTGCACCCTTATGGGAGATGCCTAAGAAGCTCCTGGCTTTGGACCAGCCCAGGTCAGGCTGTCGTCACTATTTGAAGAGTAAAGCAGTTGGTGAAAGATCTCTCTTTGCCTCGGTATGTCTGTCTTTGTCTATGACTTCGCCTTCCAAATAAACAAATAAAGCACTTTTTTTTTTTTAACATGAGTCTTAAAATTCTAGAAGTGCACTGAAAATTCTGGAATGTTCCACCGGAAACTACATATCGGTTTGCTGATGTTCTGAGACAGAAATAGCTTATTTTTCACTTTATTTCTTTCACATAATTTGGATTTTTTTTAAACTATGCTCACCTACAACTATGCTTAACTTGAGTCTTCCATGCTCACCTACACCTATGTTGACTTAAAAATGAACAACTCAGTAAAAATTAAACTAGTACACGCAGAGCAGTGTAGTGCGTTTCCAAGGCACGTGCTTGAGACTCCCCCTCAGTGGTCTATACTGCAGAAATGGGTAGAAAATTCCTTACCTCTCCGTCTGGTCCTAGGGCCGACTCGCCTCCCTCTGCGTTCTCTTCAGCTTTCTGGAAAACAACAATGCCACAAAGACATGGGTAAACCTCACCCACAGGTAGGTGCACGGCAGCCTGGCAGCTCACGGGCACGGAGCTCTAACGCCTGCTGCTTTGAATCCCCTTCCCTGAAGACAAAAGTATGTCTTTCATCAGCAAGTTGCAGAGAGATGTCTAAAGCCAGAGGTGATGCAGGGTTAGCAGACTAGAGATTTGCGAATGGTTGTCTTCGGGGACCCCAGGAGCTTGAAGATGCAGCGGCATTGAGATAAGAGTCAGAATCAGAAACGTTCTGCTGGGGTTTGGCATGCTGCAGACAAATCCTGACATAATTAGCTCAACTTTCCTTACTCCCTGAGTGAGTTTCCCTCAGCAGTGAAGAACAGCATTCGAAAAACGCCCATCAAAAGCACTCCTCGGTCATAAAAATATAGATATAAAAAGTACAAAATTCTGTGGGCTCCAGGTGTGTTTTTTTTTTTAATTTTTCCTTCAACCTAATTGGTTTTCACAACATGCAGTATTGCCACAGTGTGTGTGAGGAGAGATTGGATGCACATCAGGGAATTTCATGAAAAAATTTCATCATCTGCTATTCCTTAAGTGTTTCCGTCATCCTTGCCCAATAATCTCTATGAGTCTCAAAGATGGTCTAAATAAAAAGCTAACATATGCCCAAGAGTCTCAAGTGTCTTCCATCTACAATAGCCTTTCTTTTCTATTACCTTTAAAGAATCTTGGTTTTAGAAGTTATTGTCAGGACAAATATATTATTTCTGTGTGGTACAATGAGAAAGAAAATGAATGAATCGTTTTCTTTATCAAGGCACTTAAAAAAAAAAAAACGAGCTTTTCTTTTGATGTCCCAAGAAAACAACCTGATCATTTCTATGTTAAAATATCTCATAAAAAATGGTCCAGCCTTCTGTCCATATTGAAATAAGGTCATTGCAAAAATGCTTAAGATTGGGCCTGCCGCAATGACTAACTCCTCCCCTTGCAAACGCCAGGATCCCATACAGACACTGGCTCATGTCCTGGCTGCTCCACTTCCCATCAAGCTCCCTGTTAGTGGCTGGGAAAGCAGTGGAGGACAACCCAAAGCCGTGGGACTCTACACCCACATGGGAGACCCGTAAGAAGCTCCTGGCTTCTGGCTTCAGATTCGTTCAGCTCCGGCCGTTGTGGCCACCAGGGGGGCAAACCACACACAGAAGAGCTTTCTCTCTGTCTCTCATTCTCTCTATAAATCTTCCTTTCCAATAAAAATAAATAAACCTCTTTATAAACCTGCTTGAAATGGCTGGAATTTTTATATAATTTTCTTACCAAATGTACACGGGGCAGTACGTACATAGAACAAAGTATAAGGTATTAAGGCGGGGGGGGGGGGAGGGGAAACTAGCTTTTACCAAAGAGTAGAAAATGGAATTTGTACTGATGTCCCAAAAAGTTAATTTTCTCTTGGTGTCCCCCTTAAATGAAAATATTTATGTGCCGGAAAGGATTCAGAGGATTTGAAAAGCATTCAGTCGCACATCCGGGCAAAGACACAGAGTTTCATGGCAGAAAATCTTAGTTCAGCAAAGAAACCCGCCTTGCACCCAGCCACCGAGGGGTTCCATTTTGGGAATACCCAGGCATTAAATTCAGGGAACTGTTTCAATGAAGGCCAAGCAAGTCATGTCATACTCCCATTCTTTCCATACAATAAATAAATAAATAAATAAATAAATAGAAGGAGGAAAGAGGCCACCAATTTGCCAACAAAGAAAATGAAATGAGACAATGAAAAATCCAATGTCAAATTTCTAGCAAGAGGAGCCAGATGGCTTGTTCAGAAACTTAGCACAGCAGAAATGGATAGAATCAAAATGCCTCTAAAGGCCATTCTCCAATAAATACAGTCGATGTCCCGCAGTGTCATCTAAAAACTACCCAAGACTGAAGTCCTCCCGTTACTTATAATTCCCTATTTACACCATTCCAATAGGTAAGAAATCCAGGAGGTAAATTAATAATAGATTGAAGACAGCAGGTTCTGGAAATCAGCTGACTTTGTATCGTAGCTCTGTGAGTCAATTCAGGAAATCTTGGCGGTGTGATCCTGAGCAAATCTCGTCATGTATTGGTTCTGTCCTATGCAATATAGGGCCAGCCGGGAGCAGCACCTATGTTATAGGTGTGCCACGGGATGGGGCTGTTATGGCAACGTGGGCCTATCCAACATCGTGGGAGAGTATTTCAAAGAGTTGGTGGGCACAGCATGGCCAACTCAGTCTGGTGGATAAGACATCTCATGTCCCTCCAATGTCCTGGCTTTGGCTCTTGACTCCAGCCTTTTAAAAAGTTAAAAAGAAATAAATGGAAATAAAAGGTCAGAGTGTCCTGTTGGGAAAACAATGAAACCCATGCAGAGTTGTTTTATTAGTCATAACACACATTTGCCCATGAGCTTTTTGAAATAGCCTTGTATGCTATAAAGGTCAACCTCCATGACACTCCATGGTCCAAGGTCTATGCTTTAATTATTATGAAGACCTGCCACAGCCTTCTCTGAAAGCTGCTTCCTAACGCCACCAAGCCAGGGCTTTCTATTTGCTTTGCTTGCTGGTGTACTCAGTTCACTTACAGAGCGCACTTGAAAGGCACTAAAAACGTGCATTCGCGGAATGAGGGGATGAATAAAAGCATCAGGGACAATGCCTTTCAGTGAACACACCCTGAGTTACAGGTGTGCTTCCCAGTAACGTAAGGAGGTGCCCACGTATCGCCAATATCGCACACACACGCACGCACGGTGTGTCACCAAGCTGGCACTCTAGAACCTCTCTTCCCCAAGTTACTACCTGTAACATCAGCACCCCCCATGGATGCGCTGCTCTGAGTCCAGGCTCCTCTGCTTTCAGTAGAGCATCCTGCTCGTGCAGCCGGACAAGCATGAGCTCATGAACTTGATGCCCTCATTCTCAGGCGGAAGACCTGGATGGAGTTCTGGCTTTAAGTCTGACCTAGCCTCAACCACTGCAGCCATCGGGGAGTGCAAGGGGGTTGAAATTTGTCTTCATCTCTCCCTCTCCTCTGTCTCCCTACCATTCTACCTTTCAAATTTTTTTAAAAAAATTGTAAAAATGTAAAAGAAGAAAAAGGTGGAAGTCACTGTTTAAACGGTGCTGTAGCAAGAACCCCCGTTGCTTCCAGCATGCCTTGGATTGTTTTCAGTGGTGCCAAGCTTTGCCTGCTGCACCTTACGTGTATCCATGCTCAAAGGAAAAGGCAAAGCAACACACACACACACACACACACACACACACACACACGCACTTTCCTCAGCTCAAAACTCTCACCCAAGTGATTGTCCTAGGTATTACTGATTCAGCTAACAGCGGATGGGCTCTGAGCCACCGCTGCAATGTCCCAATGTGCACATGACAGTCCCTGTGGTGTCACTTGCTTCCTGAGCACTTTCTGCATGCAGTGTCTGCATCATGGGATGGCAAACACATGCTAGTCGTGACACCAAGCTGACACCCAAACTTACTGACCTCCTATAATTCAGGAGAACAACACACAACCGAAACAAAGTCCCACTGTTAAACGCAATAATTAGTCCCCATTGGAGAATCCAGTGCTGGCTTCTTTTTCCACTTACAAAAAGTTTGGAGCTAACTAGGTCGAACGTTAAGCTCGTCGCGTAAGGTGACGGGATACCAGTGACGCAGAACTAAAATCAACTCAAGAGTTCAAAGTTACTCAGAATTGAAGACAACTCGGATCTCAATGCCCAAGGCTGATGTCAGCTTGCATCATCCAGGGAGAAAAGTTTGCCAGAACAGAAAAAAACAATGAAAAATGGGGACAGAGAGGGAAGGGCTGGGGTCCCTAAATATTAAAGGCTAGTGTTAAGCTGAACTCAAGAAAATAAGACTTAACTTTGGGACACTTTTGATGATCACCATGTAGGCAAAAATAGTTTTATTTTGTAAAGAAATAGCCTATATTTTAAAGCAGGTGTAGCTGATATGCCAGCAGGACTTGTTATTATGTGGTAAAATAACATTGACCTGCCCTGGCATTTTAAAGGATACACTGTGCTTCACTGGAAACCAAAGCTTCCAGAAACCTCTTGGGATACTTTGTTATTTAAGTGGACCTGGGGTCATTAAGATAGGTAATTAGGCAATAAAAACAAAAAACATCCAGCACATGACTTGGGGTTGTGTCTTCAACACTGGCCAAACTTTTCATTCAAGTAACTGGTTCATCCAGTACAACAGGACTTGGCTCCAAACTTTCGCATGCACCCATCTTGACATTGTTCTGCTCATCAAGGCACTGTGTTCACCTGCCATGAACAATGGACCTTACACTCCAATATATCTCTCTTTGATGTATGAACACCTTGCAGACAAGATGCTAACAGGATCCGGTGCAGAGGTGCAGCACAGTAAGCTTCAGCCTGCTGTACCATCATCCTATACAGGTACTGGTTCAATCCCTAGTGGCTCCACTTGTGAGCCACCTCCCTGTTAATGACTTTGGAAGGCAGTAGATGATGCCCTAAGTCCCTGGGTCCCTGCACTCATATGGGAGACCCTGAAGAAGCTCTAGCCTCCTGGCTTCTGATGGGCCCAGCTTTGGCTATTACAGCCATTTGGGGAATATATATGAGGATGTAAGATGCTCTATGTGTGTCTCCTTAGTTCTGCCTATCAAATTAAAATATTAAAAAAGAAGAAGCTTAACAGATTAAACACTCTTTGAAGAAAACAAGATATAAGGATGGAGAACAACAGACTAACTTGACATAACAGCATGACATAGCATCATGATAAAACATGTACTGGCCAGTACATGATGCCAGGAAGCTTCCCTCATACGCCCACCAAAACGTCATAGTCCTGAGTTCCCTTCTAATAGTGTCTGGAATGGGGAGAGAAAAGAAAAAAAAATAACTTTCCAAAAGAAAATCAATTGGCCATATTGTGGCATAGCAGGAACGGCCGCTGCCT